AGAATAGAATAGAATAGAATAGAATAGAATAGAATAGAATAGAATAGAATAGAACCGATGGCCTTTCATGGTGAGAGTGTGGAACCAAATTGACAGGGCAGATGCATCAATAAGCAAGATCGTTCATCTCAGCCCAAATGGACTCAAATTCTTGCCGGTAGTTTGCTCTTTGAAGTAACCAATGCATGCCGGATTCACAGGTACCTGCGTTTCTCCAGTGCTTCCTCTTCTCCTTTCCTACCAGATTCCACACGACCCTCTGGCACACAAGAGTCAAGCTAGATGATAATTGGTGCCCATGCTTTTGCCCCTTCCAATATATTGAGAGTATTTCAGAGTTTAGAGGGAATGAGACTTCTTTATTTCTACATCTCCAGCAGCCAACTTGGCCTGCTGCAGGTGATAATAAATGTTTACTGAATTTGTTAATGGATTAATGAAGGTGAAATGCTGCTGGAATGAAAATGTAGTGGGGGGAAAAAAGCAGATGCAATGTTTTCCTCCAGGAGTAACAAAGGAGACCCTTAACAAATGCCCACACCCTATGTCCTTATTGGATATTGGGTTGGTTGCCCTTGCTGGGCTCTGCCAGCTTTGAGCATCTGTCAGCTTGTGGCATACAGTGGCAAGTGCCCACACAGCTTAAGAGCTTCTTGCTCGGGATGATCATACAATCTATCATCCAAACCAGGACACTTTTGAGGGGGACACACAGTGCCGTTTACAATTGCTCCAGGTGTGTAATTGCTCCGGTATAAACTGGGACTGGCTCTAGTCAAATTGAGAAGTGTGGTCACCCTGCTTTTGCTTCTAGGAGCCTTCCCTTAGTGGGCAGAGTGCCCTGTGGGGAGCTCAAATAGTCTGCTCTACCCACCTGAGCTTTGGTTACCCCCATCTTGTGTTGACGTCAAGTGTTCTCTTTCGGGATATATACTCAGGGTATAGGGACTATGTCCTCTTAATCCTCTCCACCTCTCTCCCTGATGTTGCCTTGACCTCACCAGATACACAGTAGGATCCATGATGACCCACTGAATGGAAGAATTGGACTCCCAGTCACCACAGTATTCTCATCCACCCAAAAAATATTTGGTAAAGACTTAATTTGAAGTAGTCCTCATGCTGGGGACCCTGGGACAACAGACATCAGAGGGAATCACAGGGAATTTTCAATTTGTGGGGCAGATAGACTTGAAAATAAAGGAGTCTAGAATGGAGGTTGTCACTGCCAGCGGGGCTGAGCAGAGGGAGAGACTAACTCTACTTGGGATGGGAAGAGGGTCGTAGAGAAGGTCATCAACATGCACTGGTAGTTATTCTACTCAGCATCATTTCTTCTTCTGGTAACAGCACTTTGATTTTCCTTTAGGGAAACTCTTCTGCCTTATCCTTTGCCCAGGTGGTTCATTTGAGAGTAATCTTACACCTTGGCCCCAGGATGGACATGAGCCTCAAGCTTGGCCAATGGGAGCAATACATACGCCTGGCCACAGGAAATGTTTCACATATGGGCAGTTAATAGAGCCAATGAGTGTTGATGCTGGCATTTCTACTGGAGTGTGTAGGAAAGAAAAGTCCTTCTTCTTCCAGGGGCACTAAAGCTGGTATAATAATAGCCCAGAGATGTTCATGGTCATCTTGTCATCAACAGGAAAAAAACTCCTCGAGAAGGAAGCCAACAAAGAGGAAAGCAGAGCCAAGAGATGGGAAGATCTGGTGGAATCATTTCAGGACCTGGATCCAGCCATGCCTGAAAGTGCATACTGACAGACTTCTCAGTTTATTGAGCCACTAATTTTTTTTTCATGCTTAAGCTAGTCCACACTGGATTCTGTCACTTACAACTGGGAGACTCTTAATTGATATAAGAAGTTTCACAGAGAAGGGGATACTAAGAGTAGGCAGTGAATAATGGCAGAGGAAGAGGCAGGGCCTTGCATGGGAGGATGATGGGGAGTAAGGGCAAAAGCCCTGAAATGTGAAAAAGCAACCCACGTTGAGATGCCCAGGGGTCAGGGCGGGGTGCCTGGTCTGCCTTGCCTTACCCGTTTGTCATATGCCATTCCATGAGGACAGTTGTTTGCCGACACAGCAAGTGTTACTGTCTCATTCAGGGAGGTGAAGGTGACCGTGATGGAGTCCTGTCCCAGCACCTTTAGCTTCATTTCCTCATTCACCTGTAGATGAAGAAGCAGTACTCAGAGAATCCCTGCTTCTACGGCCCCAGCCACCCCTTCCTGACCCACCACGAAGCACAAAGCCCCTGTTGGCTTGGGGCAGAAGATTTGTAAGAGCTTTCCAGTTCTTATGTTAGAATTCAGCTTCATGGAGAAGAGAGAACAATTCCAGGCTCCCCTGGGTGACCCACTGAAAAAGTAAATGATGCTTTCTTATTCCTGCTCCTTCCCTTTCCAACTCAAGCATGAAACCCACTGTGACTGGCAGATGAATCAGCTTCAGTTCTGGTAAAGATGAATTGGGAATGCAGCTTGGATCAGAGGGTAACCCTTTATCCCTGAATCAGACAGATGTGTCCACTCAGGCATCAGGTCTGACTATGACTCTTGTCCTACAGCGGTAGGAAGGTGACCACTTGGCAGGAAGCACTGGAAAGCCCTCTGCAGATGGGTGGGAAGATGTCAAATAGGACCCAGAGGGACTGGGCCACATATACTCAGCCCCTTCCCCTAAAGTCAACAAATATGTCATTACTCTTCCCCTGAGGAGGAGCCAAAGATGGGTGGAAAAGGGGCAGCTACTCTTTATCATCACTTCCAAAAGAGTGGGATTTCCTTTAAGCAGTACCAGATTGGAGATTGGGGGGGAATGAGTTACCCTTATAACAACTCACTCCTTACTGAGAGTTCTGTGGTCTACAGGTGAGTCCCAGTTTTGCGTCCTGATAACAAGCCAGTTAGCTTCGCTGAATCTTAACTTCTTCCACATGAAATGACTGAATGGCTATTATCAGGATCAAATGAGATAAAAACGGTGGAAGTGGCTTTGTAAGCCATTAAAGCCTATGCCCAGCATGAGCAGATATTGTCAGGGCAAGGTAGAGCAACTCACATTTAAGGCTGTTGAACAATTTGCATGTGCAGAGCACAATTTATACACAGGGACCCTCCCGGAGAGCCTCAGAGTGTGCAGCCCTACACTGCTGTGCTTCTCTCAGTCTTCAATGTCCCTGACCTACAATATCCTTTTACCTACAAGTACCCTCAGGATGCCTCTGAACCAAAAACAAAACAAAACAAAACCACTCTCTGCTTTGCTCCTTCCATTTCCTTCTACTATTTCAGTTGCTTACCCCGGGGTCTACAATTAACTTCCTTACTTCTGAGTTTCTTCCTCACACCCTGCAGCCTGGAGACTAGTTCCCTCCAGCACCCTGAAAGCACTGAACTGTGACTTGCCAAGTCTTTTGACATCTTCAAACTTGATCACTCTCACTTAAAAGAAACCCTCAGCCGGGCACGGTGGCTCACACCTGTAATCCCAGCACTTTGGGAGGCCGAGGTGGGCAGATCACGAGGTCAGGAAATTGAGACCATCCTGGCTAACACGGTGAAACCCCGTCTCTACTAAAAATACAAAAAAATTAGCCAGGCATGGTGGTGGGCACCTGTAGTCCCAGCTACTCAGGAGGCTGAGGCAGGAGAATGGCGTGAACCCGGGAGGCGGAGCTTGCAGTGAGTGAGCTGAGATCACGCCACTGCACTCCAGCCTGGGCGACAGAGTGAAACTCTGTCTCAAAAAAAAAAAAAAAAAAAAAAAAGGGAGAAAGAAAGAAACCCTCCTCTCTCTTATCCTCCTTCTAGAGAGATGTAGTATAGAGCTGTGGTTGGGAGCTCAAGCTTAGCAGTTGAGCAGGGGTCAAATCCCAGCATTGCCATTTACCAGTTAGGCAATTCTAGACACATTGGTTAGCTTCTCTGACCCTGGGGACAATAATAGTAAAAAGTAAGGTAAAAGTAAAAAGTTTTATCCCATGAAATTTTCTCATAGGATGGTTAGTCAATTTCAGCAGATTTCATAGCTTAGCATAGTATCGCTTTTATTTATTATCTTTGCCCCCTGGATGGTTTCTCTTTCTCTCCCCGAAACGCCCAAGTATGGCAGCTCTACAAACCACAGACTTGTCTTCTTGAGAGTTCATTAGCCAGCCCATTACACTTATCCATTATCCCCAATCTCTCGCCCTAGGTCAGGGTCCATGTCACAGTAGCCCAGAGAGATATGGCCACTGAACCAAATCAGTACGTCTAAAATCATTTTGGTCACTGATCCTCTCAGAAACTTCTCTGTTTCCACCCAGACACATAATCCATCATGGAGTCATCTACAATTCTCTCTTCCTTTCATCTATTCCTTACAGGCCATGCCTGTGCACCACTGAGTTCTTTTATTGAAATGACCCCTTTAAAAAATATTGCCACTATTTTTAATGCTGTTGGGTCTAGCTAGTAACTCCACAACTAGTCTCTCCACTAGTCCACCCACTGGTCTCTCTCCAGTCAACCAAAACTGCTAGACTGAGCATTTCAGCCCTCAGCTTAAAAATTAACCAGCTGGTTCTACTCCCAGTATAGCTGAGTCAGTGTCTGACAGGCTGCCTTCCTCATAGATAACTATAAGCTTGAAAAAGTTAAAAAGAAAAAGCAATGACCCAAAGGCTATGAAGAGTGAACAAATGCAGGCAGACTTTGAAGAGGAGTCAAAATTTAAAAGAAAGGAGCAGCATGGGATCAGGTTTTGTTTCATAGCTTTAGCCTGAAGGCAGGCCACTGTCATGGCCAAACTCCACCATCTTTCTGGCCTGAAGAACCCAGAGGATGGAACCTGGAGCAACCACAGTCATGGGAAACTGTAGAAAGAATTCCAGAAAGGATAGCACCAGAGAAGGAGAGGCCAGAATTCTGTGTATAAACTGTCCCTGTCTCTGGCTGATCCATGAACCATGCTTGAGCAGGGAAGACTCAAGACACCTTATGGTTGAAGAAACAAACAAACAAACATAAAAACTGAACTGAGATGTGAGCTTCTGCAAGTGAAACAAAGTTTGTGGTTTCAGTCTAACCAAGTTTACTGCCTATTAAAACAAGAATATCAACACTCTTCAGAGAAATACACCAGAATTCAGACACTCCACTACGTAACATTCATAATGTCCACCTACAGTCCAAAATTATTCAATATGTGAAGAACCAGTGAAATGTGAGCTGTTCTCAAAGCAACAGATAATCAACAGAGGCCAACTCTGTCTGATAACACCCACACATTGAAATTTTCAGACAAGGACTTTAAAACACTAATTTAACTACATTAGATGAGGTAAGGAAAATGTACTTGTAAGAAATTATAAAATATGAAATCTCAGCAGAGAAATAAAAAATATAAAAGTAACTAAGTGGAAATTCTAGAGCTGAAAATATGTAAAACTGAAATTTTAAATTATTATATTATTATCGTAATAGTAGAATGGAGATGACAGAATAAATTCACTGAACTTGAAGACAGATCAAGAGAAATTACCCAATCTCAAAAGTAAAGAGAAAAATAATGTAAATAACAACAACATAAGAGAGCTTCAGGAACCCCTGGGACAATATCAAAAGGTCTAAAATAGACATAACTGGAGTCTCAGAAGAAAAGGAGAAAGATTGGAGCAGGTTTTTTTTCTAAAGAAGATTTAGAAGATTCCCCAAATTTGATGAAACAAATTTAAATGGATTTACAGACTCAAGAAGCTCAGTAAATGGAATAAATATGAAGACAACTATACCTAAATGTATCAGTTAAACTTAGAAAACCAAAGAAAAGAGAAAATCTTGCAAGCAGGTAAAGAAAATAAACAGTGGCTTGAATAACTACAGACTTCTTATAAACGATGGAAGATAGACACAGTGGAACATCTTTAAAATGCTGAAAGAAAATAAAAATCATCCCAGAATCATATCCAGCAAAAATATCCTTTAATAAAGAGTTTTATTTTTATCATGAAAGAAAACAGAGAATACATTGCCAGAAGATACGCACTTCAAGAAAGCCAAAGGAAGTTCTTCCGGCTGAAGAGAAATGGTACCAGAGGGAAACCTGGATCCTCAAAGAGTAATGAAGAACAATGGAAATAGTAAACATCTGGGTAAAAACAAATTGGCCCCTGCAGCCTCCAAGACAGCATGCAAACTCCCCAGCCTGACATCCAGTGCCTCCCGCCTCCACCTGACACCATACATACCTCTTGCTCCACCTGTCTTTCACAAGAAGCACTTGTGACCTCTTAAAAATTACACATTTAGTCCCAACTTCAACCTTTGCAGATTCTGCTCCCACTACTTAGAAGATTTTTGCCTCCTCCTCCTCTCTATGTGAATCACATACACTCACCCCCATGCTACAACCCCAGGGCCACCTTCTTTTCCAGGCCACTCCTGACTTCACATGCCTCTATTGTGCTTTTCTGCATGCAGCTCCAGGAAATATATAACAGTGAACTAAAATGCATTACTAAAACACTTTACTGACGTCAAAGCACTTTCTCCTCCATTATTTCATTTCTTCTCATGAAAGTACCATGAGGCCGGAAGGCAGTTCTGGTGACCCACTTTGTATAGATGAGACAACTGAGACTCAGAGAAGCTGAAAGGTTTTTGCAAAGTTGCACAGCCACAGTCTGGCAATTTGGCATTATTACTTAGCTCCTCAAATTCTTATCACAGTTCTCTGCTTGGCCACACTAACACACAACTTATGATGCCTGCCTTCAAGTGATTTCTAATCTTGGATTATAAACTTTTCATACAGCTATGAAAAGTTAAACATTAAGTAAACAACACAACACACCCCTAGACTGGGGATCTCAGACCTGGCCACGCCTCAGAAATGTTTGCGAAAACCACAGAAATCCAAAACTCCTAATATACCAACTGAGTCAGGGTTGCTCTGGGGCTGTGTCTGGGATCTTTATTTTATAAAAAGTCCCAGAGGTGATACGCAGCCAGAGACGAGAACCTCTTCCTGACATTAATTACCAAGTGACTCATCCAAACTGTGTGCACTGTGGGAAGATAGAAATGGGTGTGGGATGGGATGCCACAAAGGAGGGGAGTCTGGGCAGGGCTTTGAAGGAATTTGGGAGGCCATTTGCACTGGCAAAGAGAGGAGGGGGTGGATTTCAGGCCAAAGGAGTAGGAAAGGTGAGACATGTTCAAGGGAGTGAATATTCCCGAGCAGATGTGTGGTCTGAGGAATCAGAGCATAAGGAGAGTCAGTGGCCAGTGTAGAGGATGAACCAAGAGGACAAGAAACAGGAGACTAAGGGTAGGGGGCTGGAGCCCTCCCATGCACTCCGAGTGCTTGTGTCCGCAACCTTACTGTGGGGCTTTTCTCTCAGGCCAGCTTGAGCGGATGCTATGTTCTGTGATCTTTCTCTGAATCCCAGCACTTGCCCTTCTCTCACAGTCCTTATCTGTGTCTAATCTGTGTTCTTATTACTCCCTTAGACTTCTGAGTTCCTTGATAAGTTTTGTTTCTCCTTCCATCCTCTGATTGGTGATTCTCAACTAGGGGCAGTTTTGCCCCCCAGAGGCTACATTTGGTGATGCCTGAAGATATTTTTGGTTGTCACAACTGGAGAAGGGGATACTACTGGAATCTAGTGGGATGCTAAACATCCTACAATGCACAGTTACACCAAAGAAGTATCCATCTCAAAATGTCATTAGTGTCAATGATGAGGAACTCTGCCACAGATAAGTGACAAGCATACTTAGTTGCTTTATTAATAAGTTTATTAATATATTATTAATAATTCAGCCCTCTTTATTATTTGTTATTTAATAAATATTTGGTGAATAATTATCTGAACAGCCAAATGAATGAAAAGAGTTTGTATCTATCAGTCACTTTTGACTTCTAGATTGTTTTATTTTGTAGATAATAAAGTTATAAAAACAAAAACTGAAGAGACCAATATAGAATTGCTAATTTTTATTATTGCCACACATAGGCATTAAAAATAAAGCTATCAACTACTATAACCGTGACTTCATAAAACATATTTTAACAGTAAAAATAGAATAATATTAATAATAAAAAATTACACAGGAAGGATATTACCAAGAAATGTCTGTAAAGCAGCCAATAGTTTAGGCTGGTGAAAAGTTCCCTTCAGCCAACCTGGACCATCATCCACCAACTTGGGAACCTCTGAATAAGATTATGAGCTCCTTCAGGGCAGGATTCCTGTCTTATGGGTAGCCCTGGGCTTTTAATGCTAGGCAGGGCATGGCAAGATGCCAAGGCCCTCCCTGTGACAGTGATGCTCACTGCCGCCCAACCTGTGCTGCTCATCCCTACCTTGTATTCCAGGGAAAGCAGAGTCTCTGTCCTGGAAGTCCAGCTCCATTTGTGGACTACATAGCCCTGCTGGTCATTGGTGGTCCCACCTTCCTCATCCAAGATTAAGACATATGGGCAACTAGGAGAGATACAGAAGTGAGTAGCTGCCACTGGGCCCCTGAAGGAAGCTCTCATCACTGCAGGCTATGAGCAGGCAGGTCTGTAAGACTCAGTCCCAGGCTGGAGGAATGGTGGAGTCCTGCAGGCAGCCTCACTTTCCCCACTTGCTATGGTCTGAAGCCCCTTAACACCTGTTGATGCTACTGGAGGAGCCCATTCTGAGAGAGATGATGAAGGCTCAGGCTAAATGCAAGAGGGGAAGAAATGGGATTTGTGCTCTGTTGCCTAGTAGCCCAAGTGTATAACAGGCACCAAGATGGGAACTGGAATACCTATAACATAAAAGTAAGTCATTTCTTCCAAAAACAGTTCCTTACGAAAAGTCAGGCAAATCCAGACCTGGTGGCTTATGCCTGTCATCCCAGCACTTCGAGGGGCTGAGGCAGGAGGACTGTTTGAGGCCAGGAGTTTGAGATCATCCTGGTTAACACAGTGAGACCCTGTCTCTACAAAAAGTTAAAAAAATTATTTAGGCATTGTGGTGCATGTCTGTAGTCCCAGCTAACCCAGGAGGCTGAGGTGAAAGGATCACCTGAGCCCAGGAGTTCGAGGCTGCAGTGAGCTATAATCATACCACTGCACTTCAACCTGGGTGACAGAGTGAGAGCAAGACCCTGTCTCAAAACAAAAACAAAAACAAAACAAAAAAGAAAAGCCAGACAATATCAACCTTTGGCTGGCAAGAATATGCACTTCTCTTAAAAGATGCCACAGAAGTAGCGTGTTCATGCCTCTCCGTCCACTCCTGGTACAAAACATTTTTTTCACTAAAGAATTCTTCCATTAATATAACAAACAATCAAGATCTTAGTGCTCTGGGGAACCAAGTGGAGTAGGACTTGGGAAGGTGTCCTTCTCATTGGCTGTGACATAGACACAGCAAGGAAAGGCTGAGCCTTAAAGTTCCTATGTCCCTGCAGAAACAGCCTCAGCCCTGCCTCACTGCCTTACTAGACCTCTGGACACCGCCTGGATTCTTCTTTAACCAGGGACTCTTAGTCACCACTTCAGTCCTCCCTCCATCACCCTCAGAGGTACTTCCGCGAGACTAGTACTCTCCCAGTCTACTTACCTGGTTTTTAGGTTGTAGTGAACACAGCCCTGACCTTCAGCATTGAATAGGGCCAGCAAGGAGAAGCCAGGTATGTCATTAAAGAGGCAAGTGATGGTTCTCCCTCTGCAGCATGTGGGGATCTGACATATAGCGATGTTTCCAGAGGGATAGCTGGCAGAAATGTTCAGGTAGAACTAACAGAAAACCCCCCTGGTTCTGCTCTCAGCTGTCCCATTGAAGCAAGTCCACAAGTCAAAGTGGTAGCTATTTGGTGCATCATTCTCCATCTTCAAACACCCTCCTTGCATTGTGCATAAGTAACAATTATATGATTATGGAACCCAACGATGACTTAGCTGTTTTTCTGTATCTTCTTTCTATTTTCTCACAACCACCTTGTGGTAGGTAGTATTATCTTCCTCTCACAGATAAGTAGGGTCCCCCTGGGTCTAATGGGTTTCCTGAGACATGGAACTTTAAGTATAAAACCTAAAAAGTCCCAGGCAAACCAGGATGAGTTGGTCACCCTATAGATGAGGAATCCAAAGTGCAGAAAATTATCTGCCCCATGTCACATCACAAGGAAGTGGTAGAGCCAGGATTTGATCTCTGAGGCCAGCAATATTTCTAATGCTGTCAGGCTGCTCCCACTTCTGACAAATCAAGGACAGGTAATGTCTCCTTGTTCATTTTCTAGTAAAGAGGCCCCAAAAAGCCTCTTTAGAGGACTTGGTGTGGGCAGGACATTCCTGTGTGCAGGAATTTCACAAGCAGTACTCCAGACACAGACGCATTTCAGAATGAAAGCAGAAAGAAAAGGAAATGAAGAAAAATGAAGATTCTCAGGGACCTACAGGAGGCCATCAAGCTTACCAACATATGAATAATAGGAGTCCCAGAAGGAGAGACAAGAGAAATTAGGGTAGAAGGAATATCTGAAGAAATAATGCTGAAAACTCCCCAAATTTGATGAAAGACAATAATATACATGCTCAAGAAGCTTAACAAACTCCAAGTAGGATAAATTCAAACATATTCTCATTGAGACACATTATAATTCAACTGTCGAAAGACAAATACAAAGAGGGAATCTTGAAAGCAGCAAGAAAAAAGAGATTCATCATGTATAAGAGACTTTCAATAATATTAACGGCTGATTTCTCATCAGAAACCATGGGGTTAAGAAGGCAGTAATATGAAATATCTAAAGACCTCAAAGGAAAAAAATAAAACTGTTAACCAACAATTCCATATCAAGCAAAATTATTCTTCAAAAATGAAGAAATTAAAACATTCCCAGATAAACAAATATTGAGGAAGTTAATCACTAGTAGACCTGCCCTGCAAAAAAACACTGAAGGGAACCCTTCAGGCTGAAATGAAAGGACACTAGACAGTGACTCAAACTCATACAAAGAAAAAAAGAACACTGGTAAAGTTAACTATATAAGTAAATATAAAATCCAGTATTCTATTTTCAGCATATAATTTTTCTTTTTTTCCTATATGACTTGAAAGAAAAATGCATAAAACAATAATTGTAAACCTATGTTAATGGGCACACAATGTATCTATAAAACATAATTCTTTGATAACAACATAAAGGGGAAGGGATAGAACTATATAGGAGCAGAGTTTTATATATTATTGTGGCAAGTTATTAATTCAAACTAGTGTGTTAATTGTAATACAATTAACAGGTATATTAGTTTCCTAGGGCTATCATAACAAAGTACGATAAACTGGATGGCTAAAAGCAACATAAATTTATAATCTCACAGTTCCAGAGGTTAAACGTCCAAGATCAAGGTGTCAACAGGGTTATGCTTTGGAAGGCTCTGGGGAAGAATCCTTCCTTGCCCCTTATAGTTCCTGGTGACTGCCAGAAATCTTTGGTATTATTTGGATTGTACATGCTTCATTTCAATCTCTGCCTCAGTCATCACATAGCTTTCTCCTGTGTGTGTGTGTATGTGTGTGTGTGTGTGTTTGCTCTTCTTATAAGGACACTAGTCATTGCAGTAGGGCCCACCCCAACAATATGACTGCATCTTAAAATTTACAACTTCAGAGCCCCTGTTTCCAAATGTGGTAATATTCTGAGGTTCCATGTAGTTACAAATTTTGGGAGACACCATTCAACCCATTATACCAAGACAACCCTAAGGAAATAACTTAAAAATATGGAGAAAAGGAAATGAGAAGTAAATCAAAATGGCATGCTATAAAAAGTCAGAAACAAAAAGAAGAAGTAATGAAGGAACTGAGAAACAAAGATGGTATAAGACATATAGAAAACAAATAGAAACGTAAAGAATTAAGTCCTTCTGTATCAGCAATTACTTTAAACAGAAATAGATTAAACTCTCTAATCAAAAAGGCCACAGCTGAGGCATGAGAATCACTTGAGCCCAGGAGGTGGAGGTTGCAATGAGCCAAGATTGCACTACTGTACTCCAGCCTGGGCGATAGAGTGAGACTCAGTCTCAAAAAAAAAAAAAAAAAAAAGCTGGCAGGATAAATTTTTAAAAACCAAAACACAATTAACACAATTCAACCATATGCTGTGTCTAAGAGACTCACTTTAGATCCAAAGACACAACTTGGTTGAAAGCGAAATGATAGAAAAAGATATTCTATGCAAATTGTAACCAAAAGGGAGTAGGGGTAAATATACTAATACCATGAAAAATAGATGTTAAGTTAAACATTTTTACAAGTGACAAAGAAGGACATTACATATTGAGAAAAGGGTGAATACCTTAAGAATATGTAATAATTATAGAGATATACACACCTAATAACAGAGCCTCAATATATATATAAATTTAAAAACCGACATAATTAAAGGAAGAAATAGTTCTAAAAAAATAGTTGGAGACTTCACTACCTCATGTTCAATAATGGACAGAACAACTAGACAGAAGATCAGTAAAGAAATAGAGGGTTTAGGCAGCTTGCTTATAATCCCAGCACTTTGGGAGGCCAAGGCGGATGAATCACCTGAGTTCAGGAGTTTGAGACCAGCCTGGCCAACATGGTGAAACCCCATCTCCACTAAAAATACAAAAAAAATTAGTCAGGCATGGTGGTGCACACCTGTAATCCCAGCTATTCAGGAGGCTGAGGCAGGAGAATCACTCGAATCCGGGAGGCAGAGGTTGCAGCCAGCCAAGATTGCGCCACTGCACCCCAGTCTGGGTGACAGAGTGAGACTCCACCTTAAAAAAAAAAAAAAAAGAAAAAGAAAAAGAAAGAAAGAAATAGAGGATTTGAGCAACACTGCTAGAACTAATAGGAACATACAGAATCCCACCCAACAAACAGCAGAATACACATTCTTCTCACACTCACATGGATCATTCTCCAGTACAGACAATATGTTAGGCGACAAAATAGGTCTCAATAAATTTTAAAACACTGAAACCATAGAAAGTATCTTCTTTGATCACAATGGAATGAAACTAGAAATCACTAACAAAAGAAAATTGCGAAAATTCACAAATACATGAAAATTAAACAACACACAAACAACAGGTGGATAAAGAAATCACAAGGGAAATTATAAAACACTTTGAAGTGAATGAAAACAAAACACAACATATCAAAACTTATGGGAGAAAGGCAAAGCAACACTCAGAAACAAATTTATAGCTGTAAATACCAACATTAAATGAAAATGAAGATCTCAAATCAATAACCCAATTTTCTACCTTAAGGAACTAGAAAAAGAAGAGCAAATTAAAGCAAAGCTAGCAGATGGAAGAAAACAATAAAAAATCAGAGTGGAGAAAAACAGAATTGAGAATAGAAAAATAAAACGGACAAAACCAAAAGTTGCATCTTTGATAAATCAAGAAAGCACAAACTTCTAGCAGACTGATTTTAAAAAAGACTCAAATTCCTAAAATTAGAAATGAAAATGGGACCTTACAGAAATAAAAAAAATCCTAATAATACAATAATACGAACAGTTGTACACCATAGTTAGATAACCTAGATGGACAAATTCCTAGAAACACATAAACTACCAGAAGTGACTCAAAAAGAAATAAAAAACCTAAATAGAACTATAGCAAGTGAGGAGATTAAATCAGTAATGAAAAATCTCCCAACAAAGAAAAGCCTAGGACCAGATGGCTTCACTGGTGAATTCTACCAGACATTTAAAGAATTAATACCAATCCTCCTCAAGCTCTTCCAAAAAATAGAAGAGCAGACCTGAACACTTCCTAACTCATTCTATGAGGCCAGGGTTATCTTGATACCAAAGTCAGACAAATACATAAAAATAAAACTTCCCATATCCCTTATGAATATAAACATAAAGTATCTTAACAAAATACCAGCAAACCAAATTTAGCAGCAGCCTATCAAAAGGATTATACACCATGAGCAAGTGCTGTTTATCCCAGGAATGCAAGTATGGTTCAACACACAAAAATGAATGTAATGTACCATAGTAATAAAATGGCAGGAGTTGGGGGGGAATCATGATCATCTTAACTGATGAAGAAAAAGCATTTGACAAAATTCAATACCCTTTCATGATTTAAAAAACACTCAACAAATTCGGAATAGAAGGGAACTCCTGCAACATATTAAAAGCCATATATGAAAAAACTCACAACTAACATCATAATCAATGGTGAAAGAATGAAAACTTTTCCTCTAATAAAAAGAACAAGACAAGTAGGCCTGCTTTTACCACTTCCAATCAAAATTGTACCGAAAGTTCTGGCCACAGCAAATAGCAACAACAACAACAAAATAATAAAAAGCCTCAAAATTGGAAAGGAAGAAGTAAAATTACCTCTGTTGGCAGATGACATGATTTTATATATAAAAAATTCTAAAGAGTCCACACAAAAATGTCTAGAGCTAACACATAAATTTAGAAAAGTTACAGATGTAAGATCAACACACACAAAAGAGTTGCCCTCATGAACACAGGATGTCTTTCCATTTATTTAGGTCTTCTTTAATTTAATTTGGCAATGTTTTGTAGTTTTCAGTGTACAAGTTCTGTACCTCTTTGTTATTTCTTCCTAAGTATTTTAATCTTTCTGATGCTGCTGTAAATGGCATAATTGCCTTTTGTTCATTGCTTTTTTGTTCTTGTTTATACACCATTTTGTACTACTTGTTGCCAGTGCTCATGGGTTGGAAGAATTAATATTGTTGGCCAGGTGTGGTGGCCCATGCCTGTAATCCCAGTACTTTGAGAGGCAGAAGTGGGTGGATCACTTGAGGTCAGGAGTTTGAGACCAGCCTGGCCATCATGGCCAAACCTCATCTCTACTAAAAACACAAAAATTAGCCAGGCGTGGTGACACACACCTATAGTCCCAGCTATCTGGGAGGCTGAGGCAGGAGAATTGCTTGAGCCTGGGAGGCAGAGGTTGCAGTGAGCCGAGATGGCACCACTGTACTCTGGCCTGGGTGACAGAGCAAGACTCAGTCTCAAAAACAAACAAACAAACAAACAAACAAACAAACAAACAAAAAACTGTTAATGGTATCACTCCCCAAAGTGATCTACAGAATCAAAGCAATGCCTATCAAAATCTTATTGGCTTTTTTTTGTAGAAATGGAAAACCTGACTGAAAATTTACATGAAATGGTAAGAGATTCCAAGCAACCAAAATAGTCTTGAAAAAAAAAAAAAAAAAAAAAGTGGGAGACTCACACTACCTTACTGCAAAACTTACTACAAAACTACAATAGCCAAAACAGTGTGGTACAGGCATAAAGACAGACATATGTGTTAATGGCTTAGAATTGACAGTCCAAAAATAAACCCATACATCTATAGTTCTATAGTCAATTGATTTTTGACAAGGGTGCCATGATCATTCAATGGGGAAAGAATGCCTCTTAAATAAATGGTACTGGGACAATTAGCTATCCACACGCAAAGGAAAGAAATTGGAACCTTATCTTATACCACATACAAAAATTAACTCAAAATGCTTCAAAGACCACAAGACCTATAAGTATAAACCTCTTAGAAAAAAACACAGGGGGCCGGGCATGGTGGCTCATGCCTGTAATCCCAGCACTTTGGGAGGCCAAGGTGGGTGGATCACCTGAGGTCAGGAGTGAGTTCAAGACCAGCCTGACCAACATGGAGAAACCCCATCTCTATTAAAAATACAAAATTAGTCCAGCATGGTGGTGCGTACCTGTAACCCCAGTTACTTGGGAGGCTGAGGCAGAAGAAACGCTTGAACCCAGGAGGCGGAGGTTGTGGTGAGCTGGATCACGCCATTGTACTCCAGCCTGGGCAACAAGAGCAAAACTCTGTCTCAAAAAAAAAAAAAAAGAGGAGGAAAACACAGGGGTAAATATTATAACCTTGGATTTGGCGATGGTTTTTTAGACATAAAGCCAAATGCATAAGCAGCAAAAGAAAGGTGGAAAAAATTGGACTTCATCAAAATTTAAAAGTTTTTGTGCATTAAATGATGCTACTGAGAAAGTGAAAAGACATCTGACAGTACAGGAAAAAATACTTGCAAAGCATATATCCGATAAGCATCTAGTATATATACACAATATGTAAAGAACCCTTACAATTTGTTTTAAAGAAAGACAACTCAATCAAAACATGAGCAAGGACTTCAATATACATTTCTCCAAAGAAGATGTACCAAAACACACACACACACACGAAAAGATGCTCTACGCCATTCATCATTAGGTAAATGTAAGTTAAAACCACAGTAAGATACCACTCACACCCACTAGAATGAACGAATACAGTGAACATTGAGACAGGTCTGGGGTCTGAAGCTGCCAAGTGCAAACCAATTACAGCTTAGAGCTTTATGATATTCCCATTGCAGACATACCTTTTTTTTTTTTTTTTTTTTGAGACGGAGTCTTGCTCTGTCGCCCAAGCTGGAGTGCAGTGGCTCGATCTCGGCTCACTGCAAGCTTCGCCTCCTGAGTTCATGCCATTCTCCTGCCTCAGCCTCCTGAGTAGCTGGGACTACAGGTGCCCGCCATCACGCCCGGCTAATTTTTTGTATTTTTAGTAGAGACGGGGTTTCACTATGTTAGCCAGGATGGTCTCAATCTGCTGACCTCGTAATCCGCCCGCCTCGGCCTCCCAAAGTGCTGGGATTACAGGCGTGAGCCACCGCGCCCGGCCCAGACATACCATTTTTGCCTGACAGCTTGACCAGCAATCTCTATGAAAACAGAATCCACTACTGAACCCAGTGTTCTATGGAAGCCATTAGGTGAAAGAAGAGCTTTCCAAACATTTTCTGTACTTGAGAGGGATCAAATAGCTGCACATGTGTTCTGACTATTTGAACACAGTAACACAGAATTTCTCCTTTAAGATCACTGGGTTCAACTTCCTCATCTTATAATCAAGGGAAGTGAGGCACAGAGATCAAGTGACTTGTGTAGGGTCACCAAGAAGAACTGAGCCTACAGCCCTAGTCTTTCAGGACTCCCAAAGGGAAGAGCATTAATTGCCAGGATGTGATCACTGCTGGCGTGTGAGTCGAATGCCAGTAGCAATGGATCAAAAGTTTGGGGGATCTCTCAGACCATTTGGGGGTGGGGGTTGGGAAGGTGTTCAGAATTCTGGGACAAGTGAGAGAACAGAGATTCCTGCAGGCTAGGGTACTGTGCTCTTATCATACACAAGCCCACCCTCTTTCTGAAGCCCCTGATAGAAGACTAATTCATAGACACAGCTTCATGAGGAGCTCAGGGAGATCATCCTATTAAATGCAGCGAAGAGTCAGAAAGCAGCGGGGGTGGGGCACAACACAACCCATTGCAAGCAGCAGCTGCTCTCGAAGGAGTCAGCTGTGTTCAATACTGTGGACGTGTTGCAAGCAGGGCCGAGCAGAGTGTGATGAATGGATTCATTTACGGTCTGAGAAACAATGAGACTTCTTTGACAGAGCGCTTAAATCCTCAATTCCCAGCTCAGTCAAGAGGAGGACAAAGGAAGCAAGGGGGCTGCTGTCAGGAGAGCCTGGTTGGGGGCCTTGGCCTTTGTGAAAGTGGTTGAGACAGCCCAGAGACCCATCCTCTCCTCCAAGAAAGAGGCAGGGGATCCTGAGTGCCCAGTGATTTTATTATTAAAATGAGATCCACTTCCATCGCCCTCTACCCTGCTCTGTGCTGGAGGAAATAATCCTTAAAGGTACAAAAATGGTACTCAAGAGAGGACCCTAAATTGAGGCAACAAGGCCCTGAACCCAGGCCTAGCTTGGCCACAGAATTCCTTTTGTGGCATACAGTCAGTTACACCATGCCTTTGGATCTCAGTTTTCCCATTTCTACAGTGAAGGGGCAGAAACAAATGACTGTGTTTCCCATCCGTGACATTTTATGTAACTCCAGACTGCGTAACCTGGAATAAGTGCTTTGCCCTCTCAGGCCTCAGAGTCCTTGTGGCCAATGAAAGACATCTGTGATCTGGTCCAGCTCTAGAACATGTTGGGTTTGGGCAACAGGACCTCCAAAAAGAACATAGGGTACAAGATGACTTCAAACCTAGACATTCTCTAAAGGGAGCCCTCTCTTTTGCTTTTACCACCCAAATTCAAACTCCTTCTCTTCACTTTAAAAGGAGCAATTAAAGTTGCTCCCTCTGAAGTACAAATGGTCTATTAACTTCATTATCTGAATTCATTGCACGTGATAGCTACTCGATACACATCTGTGAATGAAGAAAATAATCAGACTCAAATCACTCTGAGGTATGCACAGCCCTCAGGGCTCACCCTCCAAGGAGATTTATCTTTTCAAACTCAGATCCAAAGACAGGCTTTGGAGGTTGGTAAATGCCCTGCAATCACAGGTAATGCCTTATAGGTATGTGTAGATAAGTGCTTATTTCTAGGGAGAAGGTCTATAGCTTTCATCAGATTCTCAAAGAGAAAATGTTTCTCCTTTTGTTGCTCCTACATCCAAGGTTGGGACACAGCTAGCACTAGGCTCATGAGCCCAGTCAGATCTCAGCTGCAGAGCAGTCAGGGCCCAGGAGATAGCACATTTGGGGTGAGGTCTCAGGCTCCAAGGATGTGGATGGGTGAAGTATGCAAGGACCACAGAACTTAACCACTGAGCCAGGGAGAGAAGGATGAAGGTTCCCAATTGTTTAAGGCCTCCTAACTCCCTCCTCTCCACTAGAGATGATTTATTTTGTGTCTTTAACCTTGTCTCAACTGAGAGGTCCTCAAAGGCAGGGACTTTCTCTGCATTCACAGCCTGCACTGACAAGCTTCTCACAGGTAGCTGGGGTTTGGTATGTTCATGTTGATCTGAACTGAACTTCAGGCTTGAAACTTATTACCTCCTCCTCTGACCTCCTGAGTCTGATCTAGACAAACTCTTAATACCCAAGAGACCCACCACCAGGTTTCTCTGATAACTAAAAGGCCCAAGGAAATATTTAGGCTGTGTCAAGTCCTGGAGTTCTGTGGGGTTGAGTAGCTGGGGAGATAGGGTGGCACCAAATAAAAGGATACTAAACAAAGGAGGAGCCGTCATAGAAGGTGTAATGAAACTTGAAGGCCTTCTTGGGCGCCTTCCCTTCTTGACAATGCCGACTGACGAGATGGTTGGCAGATGATGGGTGAGGTGTGGGGGTGAGAGTCTGAGCACTTGCGGTGGGAGGGTAATGTAAACCCGGGGTCTGAGAGTCTCCTTTGCGGGCCATCATTAGATGAGAGGACATCTTTGCCTTGTAGTTTCGTAAGATCATGGGGTAGGAGATATTCCTCCCTTTCCACGTGGCCCTTTCGGCTTCTCTGCAGAGAAGGAGACCAATATATTGTCTAGCCTCTTGGTTCTCACGCACCAGGGATGCTCTCTACAGCCCCTCCTTAGTACCCAAGACCCCATCCCATTCCCCTGTCCCCAAAGTACACGTTCCCAACCCACGCTCCCTCGTCCATAAAGGTAGTTTTTGGGAAGAACTGGGAAGTTCCCAGTGCCCGTCTAAGAACAGCCCTTGCCTGATTTCCACCTGAGCCTGAGGGTGAGGACCTATGGAGTGGGACTGTGTGTGGAAGTGTGGGGGGGTCCTGAGGGTTTGAAGACCTTGCTCACCCCAGTCCTGAGGTTTCAGGGAACAGAGCTTCCTTCCAGAGTGTCACAGTGAGGAGGCAAACAGTGGCTGCCCTCTCCCCATGTTCCAGCCCAGCGACCCCCAAGAGATATATATGCCTAAGCTATTAGATGTGAACAGGCACTTAAGTCCTTTACACCCAAAGGCCTGGGCCCCGAGAGAAATGTTGAGTAAATTGCTAGGGCTTGTGGGATGGCCCCACAGAATGATAAAAACCACTAACTTTTTTTGGTTTGTTTTGAGAGGTTTTTGTCTGTCTTGTAGAACATCTGGCAAATTAAGTTAAGAAACAAACAGGGCACAAAAGCCCTAAATGTAAGGAGTCATGCAACAGGGCATCCCCGGCAAGGTGTTGCAGAGGTAGAGAGCATTGCTGAGCAGGGGCAGGAGGCAGGCCACTGGAGCTGTGTGAGCTCAGGCAATTTCTTACTCACATACCTGCTTAGGCTGCCTCAGTTTCCCCATCCACAAAATGGGCATCAATCTTGTCTTCCTTGCATGGTTGCAGTGATATTGTAGGGAGGATGGTGAGCAAGGAAGGACAGGGGTGTGTGTCTGCCTGTGAGGGATGCTGCACCTGTGGCTGTCATGGGGAGTACCGCATAACCCATGCTCTCAGGCAGCATGTCTCCCACACTTCTGTGACTGGACACTCACATATACACAGGGACTCCCAGCTGGGGGCCAGGCTTTCTCAGAACCCTTGCCTCCCCTGACCCAAGCACTTAGGTGCTCACATGTGGCGACACAACTCCTGCAGCTTCTCCCGGGCCTCAGGGCAGGGGTCGCTGAACTCCAGGCTGTTGGCAGGGGTTCCCACTCCTCGATGCGGGGGCGGCATGCTGACATCTTCTATAGTTCTAGATTTTCCTGTAATTGGAGGGCAAGAAGTTACAGAGATGCCCAAGACCATGGGAACTCACCTTTTGCATCAGTGTGACCTGGATGTGAGACTTGGAGTCAAAGGAGATCATTTTGGAGCTTTAAAATTTGTCCCGCTGGATTTTGGACTTGCATGGGCCCTGTAACTCCTTTGTTTTGGCCATTTTTTTCCCGTTTGGAATGGCTGTATTTACTCAATACCTGCATCCCCACTGTATCTAGGAAGTAACTAGCTTGCTTTTGATTTTACAGGCTCATAGGTGGAAGGAACTTGCCTTGTCTCAGATGAGACTTTGGACTGTTGGGTTAATGGTGAAATGAGTCAAGACTTTGGGGGACTGTTGGGAAGGCATGATTGCTTTTGAAATGTGAGAACATGGTCAGGCATGGTGGCTCGTGCCTGTAATCCCAGCACTTTGGGAGGCCGAGGCAAGCAGATCACCTGAGGTCAGGAGTTCGAGACCAGCCTGGCCAACATGGTGAAACCCCATCTCTACAAAAAACACAAAAATTAACTGGGCGTGCTGGTATACACCTGTAGTTCCAGCTACTCAGGAGGCTGAGGCAATAGAATCTCCTGAACCCGGGAGGTGGAGGTTGCAGTGAACCGAGACCACACCACTGCACTCCAGCCTGGGTGACAGAGTGAGACTCCATCTCAAAAAAAAAAAGGAAATGTGAGGACATGAGATTTGGAGGAGCCAGGGGCAGAATGATATGGTTTGGCTGTGTCCCTACCCAAATCTTAACTTGAATTGTATCTCCCAGAATTCCCACTTGTTATGGGAGGAACCCAAGGGGAGGTAATTGAATCATAGGGGCCAGTCTTTCCTGTGCTATTCTCGTAATAGTGAACATGTTTCATGAGACCTGATGGGTTCATCAGGCATTTCACTTTTGCTTCTTCCTCATTTTCTCTTGCTGCCATGTAAGGAGTGTCTTTCACCTCCTGCCATGATTCTGGGGCCTCCTCAGCTATATGGAACTGTAAGTCCAACTAAACCTCTTTTTCTTCCCAGTCTTGGATATGTCTTTATCAGCAGCATGAAAACTAATATAGGAGGGGTTTTAGAAAATGGTTTTTCAAGACATTGTATTTACTAGGGGACATGGGGCCAGGAAGAGCAGGAGAGCAGCATCCTCTAAATGTCAGAATATTGGGGGTATCATTGATGCTCACCAGGAATTGTTGACTGGTCAGTTATCAAAGAGAGATGTTACTCATACTGTGAGTCATCCATGATGGATGTGTCAGCGACTGACTTGTGTAAAGTGATGACACTGGCCATGTCTCCCCGGGTTCCAGGAAAAGAGCATTTCTGGGGCTCGACTGCCCTTACTGAATTGGACCCTTTTGATTCTCCTGATTAAAGACACAAAGTTTCTATTTCTTCTCAATCAGCTTGAAAACTTCTCTGATGATGGCTAATCTTGGGTCTTCTGGAGGGAGCCCAAGTGCCACAGGCACAGATCACTGTCATCTGAGTCTCTGCAGACTAGATGACAATGATCTGCATGACCTGGATGACAACGATCTGTGCCTGTGATACTAATTTTCACAGCTGTCCTCCATGACAGGTGGTATGAGGATGTGGTCATGTGGAGTCATGGCAGTGATCCTCCCACCCTAGGTTCCAGGGGCATCTATTTAGTCATTTGTGTCAGGTCCTACCTACACTGAACCTCTGACTCCCACCCAGTTGCAGCCTCGTAGTATGCAGGCTCAACTTCACCTTAGATTTGAGGATGAAACCTGGCTTTGGGTGGGGGCATTTCTCAGGCTCTAACTGAAGCCCTGAGGGCCTCAGAATGGAGCCTTCCTTGCTGTTGGTGAAGCTTGGGGGTTGTTGGCCAGTGCTTGGGGACCATCTCTGGTATCTGCCACCCTGAGTGGTTCCTGGTCGCTTTCCCCACTTCTCCTGCCAACAGGGACCAGAGACTGAACCCTGAACTTAAGCCTAGGGTCTGAGGTCCAGCGACCTGCTGGCGGGCCACCTGGAGCATCTGCTGGATTGAGCCTCTATGTCTGATCTGCCCCAGGTGCCTTGGGCTCCTCAAAGGTGATGGTCTCTTGCTCTGACTAGGAACTGCCATTAACAGTTCTCTTCTTGTAACGTTGGATACCTTCCAGAAATAGCTGCCATCCCCTCAGGGAGTAAGCCCAACTCCTGGAGCTGGTGCTCAAAGTCAGCCTGGCCCCAGAACTGCCAGCAGGTGAGCTGGAATAGTATATGGATATGGAATGGATGGTGGAGGCCCCCAAACCCAAAGTGACTTCAAACCAGAATGGCTATAGCAAAATCAGGCATCATTCATACATATGTCATAGGACAACAGGCATAAACTGGGACATTGCTGGGCTAGCTTGGACCCACAGTTACTTATGAGCTATGAGGCAAGGCTAATCACCCATGCTAGCATGCACATATGAGCCTAATTCCTAAACAAGATTAAGGCCCTATAATGCAGCATCACGGAATATGCATCCCAGTGTCAATGAACACAACAAGGCGGCTAAAAGTTGGGTGGCAAAGGAAAGCAGCCACATAGACAAGAGGCCAATAGACATGCAGCAGTCCCCCCAATCCTTGAGAGACACATTCCAGGACCCCTAGTAAATGCCTGAAAGCATGGATAGTACCAAACCTGTATATGCTATGTTTTTTACATGCACACCTATGATAAAGTTTAATTGATAAGTTAGACCCTAAGAGATTAACAATAACTCCTACTAAAATAGAACAATTAAAACAATATATTGTAATAAAAGTTAGGTGGAGGGGTGGGGAACGATGGCCAAATAGAAGGCTCTACTGATTGTCCTCCCCATAGGAACACCAAATTTAACAACTACCTACACAAAAAAAAGCATCTTCAAAATAGGCAAAAACCAGGTAAGCACTCATAGTACCTGATTTTAACTTCATATTGCTGAAAGAGGCACTGGAGAGGTAGAAAAGACAGTCTTGAATTGCTGACACAACCCCTCCCCATCCCTGGCAGCAGCTACATGGCACAGAGAGAGGATCTATGCATTTGGGAGAGGGAGAGTGCAGTGATTGTCAGACTTTGTATTGAACTCAGTGCTTTCCCGTCACAGTGGAAAGCAAAAGCAGGCTGAACTCAGCTGAAGCTCACTCATGGAGGGAGCATTTAGACCTGCCCTAGCCAAAGGGAAATCACCCATCACAGTGGCTGCATCCTGCCTTTTGGCACGCCTGTCCACTGTGGGCTCTGGAGTTCTAAATAAACTTGAAAGGCAACCTAGGCCGCAAGGACTACAACTCCCAGGCAAGCCTTAGTGCTGAGCTGGGCTCAGAGCCAGTGGATTTAGAGGGTACGCAACTTACTAAGGCACCAGCTGGGGCAGCTAAGGGAGTGCTTGTAACACCCCTCCCCCAAGCCCAAGTGGCACAGTTCATGGCTCCAAAAAAGACCCCTTTCTTCCACTTGAGGAGAGAAGAGGGAAGAGTAAAAAGGACTTCGTTTAACCTCTTGGATACCAGTTTAGCCACAGTAGGATAGGGTACCAGTCAGTGTCATGAGGCCCCCATTCCAGGCCCTAGCTCCCAGATTACATTTCTAGATACATCCTGGGCCAGAAGGGAACCTACTTCCTTGAAGGGAAGGACCCAGTCCTGGCAGGACCCCATCACCTGCTGACTGAATAACCAGCAGTGATACCCAGGTAGTAGGCTGTGGACCTTGGGTGACACTCTGAGACATGCTGGCTTCAGGAGAGACTCAGCACATTCTCAGATGTGGTGGTCACAGTGAGGGACTCCTTCTGCTTGAGAAAAGCAGAGGGAAACGTAAAGAGGACTTTGTCTTGTACCTTATGTACTAGCTCAGCAATGAGGAGGCAGAGCACTAAGGGGCTCTGATTCCATGCCTTGGCTCTTGGATGGCATTTCTATACCTGTCCTGGGGCACAGGGGAGCCCACTGCCCTGAAGAGTGAGTCCCAGGCCTAACTGAAGAGTCCTTGGACCTTAAGTGAACAGTTGCAGTAGCCTGGCAGTACTCCCCATGGACCTGGTGGTGGTGGCCAAGGCGTGAGACTCCTCTGCCTGTGGAAGAGGGAGGGAAGAGTGGGAAGGACTGTGTCTCATGGTTTGAGTGCCAGCTCAGCCACAGTACAATAGAACATCAGGTAGATTTTGAAGGTGTTTTACTCTAGTCCTGGCTCCCAGACAACATCTCTGGACCTGCCTGGGGCCTGTGGGAACTTTCTGCCCTAAAGGGAAGAATAGAAACCTGGCTGGCTTCACCACCTGCTGATTGTAGATCCCTAGGGGCCTTCAGCAAATATAGGCAGTAGTCTGGCAGTAGTTACAGCAGGTCTTGGGCAAGACCCAGTGCTGTGCTAGCTTTAGGTTTCATCCAGTGCAGTCCCAGTGGCGGTGGCCACAGGGGTACTTGTGTCACCCCATCCCCAGCTCCAGGTGGCTCAGCACAGAGAGAGACTCCATTTGTTTGGGGGAAAGCAGGGAAGAGAACAAGTGTCTCTGCGATAATCTAGAGAATTCTCCTGGATCTTATCTAAGATCACCAAGGCAGTACCTCTCTGAGTCAGAAAGAACCACAATGTTACTGGGCTTGGGTTGCCCCCTAATGCAGATATGGCTTAGGTCACAACACCCAAGCCCTTTCAAATACCTGGAAAGCCTTCCCAAGAAGGAAAAGTACAAACAACCCCAGACTGTGAAGACTACAATAAATACCTAACTCTTCAATGCCAACACTGATGAACATCCACAGGCATCAAGGCCATCCAGGAAGATATGATTTCACAAAATGAACTAAATAAGGCACCAGTGACCAATCCTGGAGAAACAGATATGTTACCTTTCAGACAGAGAACTTAAAGTAGCTGCTTTGAGGAAACTCAAAGAAATTCAAGATAACACAGAGAAAGAATTCAGAATTCTATCATTTAACGAAGAGACCGAAGACAGTGTGGCGATTCCTCAAGGATCTAGAACTAGAATTACCATTTGACCCAGCCATCCCATTACTGGGTATATACCCAAAGGATTATAAATCATGCTACTATAAAGACACATGCACACATATGTTTATTGTGGCACAATTCACAATAATGAAGACTTGGAACCAACCCAAATGTCCATCAGTGATAGACTGGATTAAGAAAATGTGGCACATATATATCATGGAATACTATGCAGCCATAAAAAAGGATGAGTTCATGCCCTTTGCAGGGACATGGATGAAGCTGGAAACCATCATTCTCAGCAAACTATCACAAGGACAGAAAACCAAACACCGCACTCACAGGTGGGAATTGAACAATAAGATCACTTGGCCACAGGGCAGGGAACATCACACACTAGGGCTTGTTGCGGGGGTTGGAGGCTGGGGGAAGGATAGCGTTCAGAGAAATACCTAATGTAAATGATGAGTTGATGGGCAGCAAACCAACATGGCACATGTACACCTATGTATCAAACCTGCACATTGTGCACATATACCCTAGAACTTAAAGTATAATAAAAAATAATAATAATAGACTAGGCGCGATGGCTTATGCCTGTAATCCCAGCACTTTGGGAGGCCGAGGCCGGCGGATCACAAGGTCAGGAGATCGAAACCATCCTAGCTAACATGGTGAAACTCTGTACTAAAATATATACAAAAAAATTAGCCGGGCATGGTGGCAGGCGCCTGTAGTCCCAGCTACTCGGGAGGCTGAGGCAGGAGAATGGCGTGAACCTGGGAGGCGGAGCTTGCAGTGAGCCGAGATCGTGCTACTGCACTCCAGCCTGGGCGACAGAGCAAGACTCCATCTCAAAAATAAATAAATAAATAAATAAATAATTTTTAAAAAGAGATTGAAATAATTTTAAAGAATCAAGCAGAAATTCTGGATTCAAAAATACAATTGACATTCTGAGAAATGAGTCAGAATCTTTTATCAGCAGAATTTATCAAGCAGAAGAAGGAATCAGTGAGCTTGAAGACAGCCTGTTTGAAAATACACAGTCAGAGGAGACAAAAGAAAAAAGAATAAAGAATGAAACATGGCTGCAAGATCTAGAAAATAACCTCAAAAGGGCAAATTTGGCCGGGCGCGGTGGCTCAAGCCTGTAATCCCAGCACTTTGGGAGGCCGAGACGGGCGGATCACGAGGTCAGGAGATCGAGACCATCCTGGCTAACACGGTGAAACCCCGTCTCTACCAAAAATACAAAAAACTAGCCGGGCGAGGTGGCGGGCGCCTGTAGTCCCAGCTACTCGGAGGCTGAGGCAGGAGAATGGCGTAAACCCGGGAGGCGGAGCTTGCAGTGAGCTGAGATCCGGCCACTGCAGTCCAGCCCGGGATACAGAGCAAGACTCCGTCTCAAAAAAAAAAAAAAAAAAAAAGGGCAAATTTAAGAGTTATTGGCCTTAAAGATGAGGTAGAGAAAGAGACAGGGGTAGAAAGTTTATTCAAAGAAATAACAACAGAGAACTTCCCAAACCTAGAGAAAGATACCCAAATTCAAGTACAAGGAGGTCATAGAGCACTAAGCAGATTTAACACAAAGAAGACTACTTTAAGGCATTTAATAACCAAACTCCCAAAGGTCAAGGATCCTAAGAAAGGATACTAAAAGCAGCAAGAGAAAAGAAACAACATACAATGGAGCTCCATTTGTCTGGCAGCAGACTTTTCAGTGGAAATGTTACAGGCCAGGAGAGAGTGGCATGACATATTTAAAGGGTTGAAGGAAAAAACCTTTTACCCTAGAATAGTATATCTTGTGAAAATATCTTTCAAACATGAAGAAATAAAGACTTTCCTAGACAAACAAAAGCTGAGGAATTTCATCAACACCAGACCTCTTCTACGTGAAATCCTAAAGCTAGTACTTCAATCAGAAAGAAAAGGTGTTAGTATAAAACTCACTGGTAATAGTACAGAGAAAACCAGAATATTACAACACTGTTACTAAGGTGTGTAAGCTACTACTATCTCAAGTAGAAAGACTAAAAGACAAATCCATAAAAAATAATAGCTACAGGTCAGCGTGGTGGCTCACGCCTATAATCCCAGCACTTTGGGAGGCCGAGGCAGGCAGATCACTTGAGGTCCAGGAGTTCGAGATCAGCCTGGCCAACATAGTGAAACCCCCATCTCTACTAAAAATACAAAAATTAGCTGGGTGTGGTGGTATGCGCCTGTAGTGACTGGACAGAGCTGTCTGAGCAGAGGCGTGAGTTTGGGATACTGTAGGGGGTGGAAGAGATGGGTTTGGTGGGATGTTGTCCCAGGGGAGGGACATCACATCACTGGGAAAGCAGGGCACGAGCAAACTGAAATGATAAGCCCGTGCTATGCAGTGATAGGGCTGGCTGTGACAGTGAAGAGACAAACCACAGACTGGGAGAAAATATTTGCAAACTACCCATTCGATAAAGGATTAATTACCAGAATATATAAGGAGCTCAAACAACTCAACAGGAAAAAAAAAATCGAATAATCTGATTGAGCTTTCAAACTCATTCTTCTCAAAAAAAGACATTTAAATGGCAAATAAGTGTATGAAAAGGTGCCCAACATCACTGATAGAGAAATGCAAATTAAAACTACAAGGTGATATCACCTCACCCAGTTAAAACGGCTTTTGTCCAAAAGACAGGCAACAACAAACGCTGGTGAAGATGTGGAGAAAAAGAAACCCTCATAACTGTTGGTGGGAATGTCAATTAGCACAACCACAGTTTGGGGGTTCCTCAAAAAAATAAAGATAGAGCTACTATACCATCCAGCAATTCCACTCCTAAGTATATACCTGAAAGGACAGAAATCAGTATAATAAAGAGATATCTGCACTCCCATGTTTAGGGCAGCACCTTTCATAATAGCCAAGATTTGGAAGCAACGTAAGTATCAATCAACAACAGATAAATGGATGAAGAAGTGTGGTACCTACCTATAATGGAGTACTAGTCAGCCATAAAAAGAGAATGAGATCCTGTCATTTGCAACAACATGAATGAAACTGGAGATCATTATGTTAAGTGAAATAAGCCAGGCACAGAAAGGCAAACTTCGTATGTTCTACTTTATCAGAGCTAAAAATTAAAACAATTAAACCCATGGAGATAGAGAGCAGATAGTTACCAGAGGCTGGGAAGGGTAGTGTGGAGTGGGAAGGGCTAATGGATACAAAAAAATAGTAAGAATGAGTAAGACCTAGTAGTTGATAGCATTCAGATGATTATAGTCAAACATAATTTAATTATATATTTTTAAATAACTAAAAGAGCACAATTGAATTGTTTGTAACACCAAGGATAAATGCATAAGGTGATGGACACCCCATTTAGCTTGATGTGATTACTGCATGCCTGTATCAAAATATCTCACATAACCCATAAATATATATACCAACTATACCCACAAAAATTTAAAATTAAAAAGAGTTATGTGAATGTGGTCCCTCTCTCTCTCTGCCTCAAAATATCTTAATATTTTTGGACTGTGGTTGACCATGGGTAACTGAAACCACAGAAAGGGGAAACCCTGGATAAGGAGGACTTCTGTATTTAACTTTTGCTTTGAAATAACCTTGCTCAAGACATCACCCTCAGGTTCATTAAGCAGAAAAAGTCATTAAATCACCAGGTGTCTTGAGGGTACTTCCTTTTCCCTCAAACCGACTGTGGGATCACAGGGCCAGATCTAGGGCCAGCTCAGGAGGGCACATGGTAATGGAGTACCAAGCCAGGCGCACATGCAGTGGGGTGCTGGCAATGGTGCTGTGGGTTATTGTACCACAATGAGATGAAGCACATATCAACACAGGTAAAGCAGTCAGGAAGGTGTGGCAGCCGCCGAAGCTACTCCTTGCCTGGAAGCTGAGGAGGTCAGCTCCTTTAAGCAAGGCATTTTCTGTCTTACAAGTCCACATCTGTATCCCCAGCATTTGGTACAGAGACTGACAGTTAGCAAGTGTTCAGTAACCGTTTGTTCATTAATGGAAAGAGTATAGGATCAGCTTGATATGGTGAGTGATGAAATACAAGGCATGCCCATGATGACCATCTCCCTTTTACCGACATGGAGGTGAGGGCTGAGGAAGGTGGGTCACACAGCCAGCCAGGGGTGGGGGCATAGAGGAAATCCAAGCTCCTTGGCTTCCAGCCTTACCTCCAGTGTCAGTGGGAATCAAATGGACAGCTTGAGCCTTCCTGCCTACCACCCACCCCCTCACCACCTTCAGGAACATGGTCCTCTCCTACCTACCCTGTCCCCACAACCCATCTGTCATGGCTAGCAGGGTGGACCTGGGAGTTCTGCCAGGCTTTTCCCTGCTCTCTGCAGCCCCAGCCTGTCTCTCCTCTGAGCTTCTTCTTGAGCAGGTGTTGTTAGACTGCTTGTCTTCATCTGCCACCTGTTCTCTTCCTGAAGCTTCTCCTATGTGTGTCTTCCTCAGTAGAATAGGAGTATCTTCTATGTCTTTGTTTCCTGCCCACACAAACTTGCCCAGTTTGGGATGTGCAACTGAGGTCTACCAGGTTTGATATCCAAATGCCTCTCTTCAGATACTAGTCCCCCCACTTGCTGCGTGACTGGACAGAGCTGTCTGAGCAGAGGCGTGAGTTTGGGATACTGTAGGGGGTGGAAGAGATGGGTTTGGTGGGATGTTGTCCCAGGGGAGGGACACCACATCACTGGGAAAGCAAGGCACGAGCAAACTGAAATGATGAGCCCGTGCTATGCAGTGATAGGGCTGGCTGTGACAACCTTTCCATGAGCAAATCTGTGTGGACAGCTGCCAGATCTCCAGGTGGAGCCACTATGTATCCTTCCAATCAGAAGACCAAATCAAACCATCCCACCAACCTACACAGGGTAGAGAGAAACCTATTCCCCACCCCACTGCCACCACCAATGAATGGTAGGCTATGAGGTCTTGCTAGCAACCATTGTTACCTATTTTCTTCTTGACTTCTTTTCCAGTAGAGAGGGAAAAGCTCAGACAGGCTGTGGAAGAGTGGTAGATCAGCTGGTAAGGCGAGTTCACCCCAATGGCAGATATGTTTGCGAGGGACTCTGGAGTGGGAGAGAGAGAGATTCTTCTTTAAACTCTTGACTTTTAATTTTATTAGCCAAAAATGTAACATGGATTTCTTATTCTAGTAGTATGGTGGGTCAGATGCTGTAAAGTGACGCATTGTTACAAAACACCTAGATCTTGGAAGAAGGAGATTTTGCAATGCACAAGCAGAGCAATTAGGGGAAATCTTTATAGTTCCCCTCTGCAGTGCCTCTCCTCCCCAACCCTCAAGATGCGGACCGGAACAAGGAACAGCAAGCAAGCACAAAAGGTGATATTACTCCAAGGGCAAAGGCAGATATTGGTGCTACACCAGGTTGAGAGGATAAGCCTTGGGCCAGTAAGAAGGAAATTAAGAATCATCTATTCCCCCTTATCTAAGCCACAGAAATCAGATGCTTCTTCAATAATATATCAGTCTCTTGCAGAATCACACCATCTTGTGTAGAATCATTTGATATCTGACCACTTAAGAATTAAAATGTAGCACCCTTATGGCTAGTGGAAAATCTTGCTCATTCTTACACAAACCTCACTAAATCATTTGTTTATTCTTCCCCCAAATATAATCATTTCACTGGTTAGGCATGAAACCATTGTTAGAAAATGTTAGGTGATTCACTCATCACAGCTCACTCAAATTCAAAAAGAAAATGGCAAACTGGACCTCCTAAGCGGACAAAGACTATAGAGATTCCACAACGGATGATAAAACACAAAAGTAATCACCTCTGCGAGTGATCCAGAAGCTGAAATTAAAACAACTTTCAGGACCTTCTAACTTGGTAGAAATGAAAAGAACTAACAATGGCCAGTAATAGTAAAGAAGGAATAAAACCCATTAACCCTGTTGGTGTAGAGAGAATCCAAATTAAGTGTGATTTCAGAAGAAGAGCTATATATATACTGAGACCTCTGCTCCAATAATCCCTCCCCTGGGAAGTTAACCAAATACAACAGAAATAAGAAGCCACGTGCATAAAGTTGCTTATTATAATGCACATTATACAAATAACAAAAAGCCTGGAAACCTAAACATTTAGGTAAATGTGGAACACGAACATTACAAGGAGTCTATGCCCACTCAAACTGACAATTATTTAAAGTATACAGCCATGTTGGAAAACAGTTGTACTCTGTTAAGTAAAAGAAACTAAGAAACAGAAAAACTGCAATACCCTAAAAATATATATACATATATGAGCACAGGAACCATAGAGGAAACTTCCAAGGTGAAAAGTAGCTCTTATACAAAGATGGCAGGATTGTTTCCTCTTTTTTGCATTTTTATTAATAATATTGTCGTCAACTAAAAATAAAGGAGCAGTCTGATTTTCTTCAGTGACAAGCCAGGGCTAGTAGGTATCAGGACAGGAGGGAAGACTACTTAGCACAGGAGATATTCCAGACACACAGATACAGCTTTTTTTTTTTTTTTTTTTTGACAGTCTCACTCTGTCACCCAGGCTGGAGTGCAGTGGCACAATCTCAGCTCACTGCAACCTCTGCTTCCCAGGTTCAAGCGATTCTCCTGCCTCAGCCTCCCGAGTAGCTGGGACTACAGATGTGTTCCACCATGGCTGGCTAATTTTTGAATATATTTTTAGTAGAGACAGGGTTTCACCATGTTGGCCTGGCTGGTCTTGAACTCCTGGCCTCACGCAATCCTCCTGCCTCAGCCTCCCAAAATGCTGGGATTACAGTCGTGAGCCACCACACTTGGCCTGGTAACAACTTTAAAAGAAGTTAACTCTTTTAACTTTTAACCAGCTTTTGTCTACCTCACATAAGAGGATGGTCCCAAAAAAACATAATTCATGCAAAAAAAATCACCAGAGTTTGAGTCTTCTTTTTTATGCCCCAGGAGCACTATCTAAGTAAAGTCCTTTTAGGATGAATGAGTGTTTTTCCAAAAGAAATGGATCACTCTGTTTTTGTTTTGCTACTTAGATTTTTGTCTTTAAACTCTAGGCTTATTTAAAGAGAGGAGCATCTGCATCAGCAAGTGCCAACAAGACAGGGAGGCTTGCTAGGGAGTGTGATGGAGAGGGGCACTCTCAGCAATCGGCTGCTGCAGCAGGGCAGCAAGATGCAGAGATCACCCAAAAGGCCCCCTACCCCCCAGCTCAGCTTAACTCACTTCCCATTCTTCTCCATTAGATGAATCACAACCCACATGGGATGCCAGAAGCCACCGCGCCTCCCTCATCCTGAAAGAATGCTGAAACACTTTATGAGAAGGAGGTTAGTGGTGAGGACCATTTTCCTTTTAAAGGCGAGGAGACATGATATTTAGTTAGGAGTGGCTCAGGCAGGTATGAGGCCCAAGGGTTGGGCTGGAGCTACCTTGACATCTGTCATGGGGCTCTCATGCACATGCAACAGACTACTTAGCAGCTGTGCCCCCAAATGAGGGAGATCTCTAAGCCCCAAAACAGAAAGCAAAGTGCAGAGCTCTGTCTGGTGATCACCACCTGCACAAATAATTACAGCACAACTAGAGGACCTGTGGTCTCAGAGTCTAGCTGATCCTAAACAAAACAGGCACAGTGTAACTTCCCCTAAAACCGAGATCTTCATTTCATGGTAAACACTGGGGGGGAAGAGTGTTTTATCACAACTTTGTATTAGAAAAGGAAGCCAAAATTTATCAAAATAACATTTTATCTTGTATTTTAAAAAATTAGTTGGTACTCTAAGAACACATTAAGTCTTACAAAGCAAGTAAAAATGACTGCTGGGTGTTTTGAGGCAGTAGGGTTTCTTTCTTCCTGAATGATTGTATCATGGCAATAAAACATAAGACCCTTCATCTTTTCCTTTTGCAAAATTATTGAAGAGCTTTACTGCTTTTTATTTTTTCTCCATGGAGTCATGGTCCTGTATTCAGTTTTCCCTTCTGTGGCAGGTGGCTAGTGCTGCTTCGCCCTATCAGGCATCAGGGGCATTGGAGGGGCATTCTGCAGCTCTCCAGCATCACTTTCATTGACTTCATGAAATCTTACCTTTTTTTCCCCAAGATCTGCAATTTTTCTATTTAATTTATTTGCACTGTATGTGTGTATTACCAGATGTTTAATCTCTGACCATCAAGGGAGCATGACAAAGACACTGACTCAGTGGACAGGGAGAGAGGCTAAATGGGGACTGACTCTACAGGTAGGGCAAATTGTTGGGAGATAGAATTTTTTTATGCTTCCTATAAAACCTCACATCAGTGAGTACTTTTAGGCATTCAAAATGAACACCTGTCTATTCACCAAGCTTAAGACATAAAACATTGCAGAGCAAAAACCAAATAACTTCATTTAAAAATGCATTAAGGACCCAAATAGACATTTCTCAAAAGAAGAGACACAAATGGCCAATAGTTATATGAAAAAAATGCTCAATGTCAGTAATCATCAGAAAAATGCAAATCAAGACCACAATGAGATACCACGTTACATCTTTTAGAATGGCTATTACCAAAATGACAAAAACTAACAAGTGCTGGCAAGAGTGTGGAGAAAAGGAAACCGTTGTACGCAGCTGGTGGGAATGGAGATTGGTGCTGCTGTCATGGAAAACAGTATGGAGTTCCTCCGAAATTTAAAAATGGAACTACCATATGATCCAGCAATTCACTTCTGGGTATTTATCCAAATAAAAGAAATCAGTATTTCAAAGAGATATCTGCACTCCTATACTCATTACAGTATTATTCACAATAGCCAAGATATGGAAACAACCTAAGTGTCCATCAAAGGATAAATGGATAAAGAAAATGTCACACACACACACACACACACACACACACACACACACACACGAATAGGATTCAGCTATTAAAAAAGGAAATCCTGGGCTGGGCACGGTGGCTCATGCTTGTAATCCCAGCACTTTGGGAGGCCAAGGCAGACAGATCATGAGGTCAAGAGATCGAGACCATCCTGGCCAACATGGTGAAACCCTGTCTCTACTAAAAATACAAAAATTAGCCGGGTGTGGTGGCGCATGCCTGTAGTCCCAGCTACTCAGGAGGCTGAGGCGGGAGAATCGCTTGAACCTGGGAGGTAGAGGTTGCAGTGAGCCAAGATCGTGCCACTGCACTCCAGCCTGGCGACAGAGCAAGACTCCGTCTCAAAAAAAAAAAAAAAGTTAATCCTGCCATTTGCTACAACATGAGTGAACCTAGATTATATGCTGAATGAAAAAAAGAAAAGCCAGAAAAAAAAAAAAAAAGACAAATCCTGTATGATCTCACGTATATGAGGAATCTAATAAAGTCAAACTCAAACTCATAGAAGCAGAGAGTGAATGGTGGTTCACAGGACTGGAGGGTGGCAGCCAGGGAGTGGGAAGATATTAGTCAAAGGGTACCAACTTTCACTTATAAGAGGAACGAGTTCTGGAGAACTAATATACAGCATGGTGACTGCAGTTAATATCACTGTATTGCACACTCAAAATTTGCTTGGGAAGTAGATTTTGTGTTCTCAACACACACACACGCACACATACACACACACACAGAGAAAGAGAGAGGCAGAGAGACAGAGTTCACTGGGTGAGAAAAAAGCAACAAAAAGAACATTACAGACTCAATTGCTTGCTGTCTTCCAGATCCTATTCCCCTTCTCTCTCCCCAGAGATCACTTCCTCAAATTTCCCCCTTCATGTTTTTATACTTGTGCTTTGTGTAATATACCTGCGATACATTACTACTTTACATGCTTTTAAACTTTGAAAAATAATATCTTCCCATAGCTTCCTCTTTTTTTCCTTAATACTATCATTGGAGATTTCTCTCTGTGAATATCTATGCTTTAGTGCCTCACTCATTTTCATGATTCATTATGTACCACTGTCTAAATGGACCTTAATTTATATCTTTTTCTCTTGTTCATAAACATTCGGATTAATTTTTGCCATTCCAAAGAATTCTGCAATAAACATTTCTTTTTTTATTTTTAATTTAAAGACAGAGTCTCACTATGTTGCCCAAGCTGGTCTTGAACTCCTGGAGTCAAGGGATCCTACTGCCTTGGCCTCCCAAAGTGCTGGGATTACAGGCATAAGCCACCATGCCTGCCTGCAACAAACATTCTTGTATGACTTCTTGAATATGTGTGTGAGCTTCCCTCAGGCTGTATGACTCAAGTGCAGCCTGTGGACTGCCACTGACCCATACAGGCCATGACCAGGCGAGCACAAAAACTGAAGGTGAGCACTGAGAGGCCTGTACAGCAACTTGACACTGCTGTGACATTTATCGTGTGTTTAAAAGGGTCGGTCCACAACAGATTGGACATTTTAAACATGAGTCTTTCACTGCACATAGCTTGAGAGCACAGCTCTAGGGAACAACCTCTAAGAGGAGCTGCTGGGTTGTGAGGTGTAGCCATCGCCCACTCAGCAGATACCACCAAACCACTCTCCACGGGAATTGCACCAATTCATCCACTCACCTGTAGCATTTGAAACCTGTTGCTCCACATCCACCTCAATTCTTAGAAATGTCAAACCTTCATACTGGGGGTTTTGCCTTTCCATTGCATTCCTGCTGATATTGTTTGCACTTCCCACCTAAGGGCTGAAGCTCAAGTACCTACCTTTCCACAACTGTCCGCTGCTGTAGCCACTTCTCCCAGCTGTGCCGATCAGGCAGTTGAAGGCCATCTCCTTGGCATTGAGGTGGAGGAGCTGGCTGGCCTCCACAAAGCGCCTGGTGATGTCCAAGGGGTTGGCACCCACTAAAGCAATGAAAGAAAGCAACACATGTCCCTCCTAGCATGGGGCTAATGCTTCCAGTAAAGGACCTCTGTAAATGGCCCAGGAAAGAAGGGTAGAGTAGAGCACTATTCCTAGGGTATGCAGGGGTGAGGGGGCTACTGCAAAAGGCTCTCAAGCTCTCAGGACCTTTCAGGTGTTGCTTTGCTCTCCTCCCTCTGCCTATCTCTCTTCCTACCCATAGGCCTGGGTACTGATGCTATTGGTTTCTGAAATGACGCAGCATCCAGAAGTCTTGATCACTGGTGCTACCCTAGGTCCTGGCCTTGATCCTGGGATGGCACCCTCACTTTGGAAGGACCCTTGTTCTTTTTTTTTTTTTTTGAAATGGAGTCTCACTGTATTGCCCAGGCTGGAGTGCAGTGGCATGATCCCGGCTCACTGCAACCTCGGCCTCCTGGGTTTAAGCAATTCTCCTGCCTCGGCCTCCCGAGTAGCTGGGATTACAGGTGTGCACCACCACGCCTAATTTTTGTATTTTTAGTAGAGTCAGGGTTTCACCATATTGGCTGGGCTGGTCTCGAACTCCTGACCTTGTGATCCTCCTGCCTCGGGTTCCCAAAGTGCTGAGATTACAGGGGTGAGCCACCACGCCTGGCCTGGGACCCTGATTCTTATGACTCCCCCTCATTCTGGCTCTACTGGGCTCTGTCTGGCTACTTCCCAATCGGCCCTCCTGATTTGAAAACTTCACATGCCACCCGGACATGGGTGCTGTCTCCCCACCTCAGCATCATTCTCACAAATACTACTCCTCAGTGCCTCTGACCTCACACCATTCCTATTGCTAACCTTCAAATCTGGACTCTGCAAAGGTGGGGCAATGGCAAGAAAAATGGGAGAACAGGGAGGAGTGAGAGGATGATTCCAGGAGCTGCAGAGGGAAGGCATCCAATTCCTACAGCATACCCACGGTTGCCACCTGTTCCCAGCATGTGCCTCTGAGGTGCCTGTCTGTAGTGGGTATGGTGGGCACATACACAAACATCTGGGCCTTACCCGACATAGACTCCACCATGGCCTTCATCTTCAGTTTGAGGAGCTCCGTCAGCAGGTGGATGGACTGCTGCTGAAACCTGTTCAGGGTCTCCTGCTGGGCGTGCGCCTGACGGGCCATGGTGGGAGAGAGGGTGGAGCGCTTGGCAGTGGTTGCCAGCAGCACTGGATATGGTGGTGCTGGTGGTGGTGGAGGTAGTGGCTTCTTCAGTGTGGGGACCTGCACAAAGGTGGGTTCCATGAGCACCACCAGGGGGGCTCCAAAGCTGACCTCCAGGCCCAAGATGTCGGACGGGGTAGGCACTGAAGGGTCACTGATGAGCTCTTCCCAAGTGAACTCAAAGATGTTTCTGATGCCCTTTGGTATAGAAATGCCTGCATTCTGGCAGATCATGAGGAGTTTGGAGATGCGGGCCAGTAGCTTGGGGGCCATGGCTGTGTACTGCTGGTATAATTGTAGGTTACTCTTGATGTAACTCATGAGAGGGACCTTCAGCTATAAAGAGAGCTCTCTGAGAGGTGACTGAGAGCAAAAGTTCTTCCCTATGGTGAAGGCTTGGAGATGGACAGAATGGATGTGCTGAAATGACCCTTACAGGTCATTGAGCCAGTGGTTCCTATCCGGAAAGGACAAGAAAAGAGTTAGTCACTCTCCCCATAGTAGGGCAAGAGGATGTCCCCCTCCCTTACCTACCCAGAGACACCATCAGAGAGACCAATGTTAATGAGTCACTTTGGGAAGGGTCTGGTGATAAGTATGGTTCCAGGAAAGCTTCAAGGACAGTCACACAAACTGGGTATAGGACCCTGGGGGGCTGGAGGAATGGAAAGGCTGGGGAAGAGAGAAAGGTCCCATTGCACCTTTTGTAGTTAGAGATCCGAGGGTGGAAGATCTGCTTGTGGTCAATCAATAAGAACCTGCAAGAACAAAAAGATGTTTCACTGGTTCTCTTTGGAAGCGAGGGATGCAGAAGCTCCTGGTTGCAATGCCAAGATAGGCTTGGAATTATCCAACACGTACATCTGAGGGCAGACAGGAAAGAATGAGAACAATGCATTTTCTAAGCTCAATCACTAATATAATTTGCCAGATTTCATCAAATCCAAGACATTCATGATCAAAGGATGCACCATCTTATAAGAAAAAAATGAATGTAATCTGCCATTGACTGTAAGACATACCACAATTTCAGAGATGTTCAAGTTGGAAAATACGTGCCTGAAAATCAATGGACTATAATAAATATTTTTCCACTTTAATACTACAGTAGTGTTTCCCCTGACATATTTCTACATTGTGTTTTATTTTTACCTTCTTAACTTATATGAAAAATAGACCACTGGTTGAAGAGAGGAAGCATAAAGAACAATTTAATGAGAGAAAAAAAAAAAAAAAAAAGGCTAGAAAAACCTGTAAATACACTGGCAGAGTTTTGTAACCAGATACTGAAAGTTTCATTTTTCTGATCAAAATGAACCTGACAGCAGTCTTTAGTAATATATCAAATTAAAACTAGTCACATCTTATGCTACGCAAAAATGATTTGTTTCTTGTAATTCCCAAGGGACTTTATGAGCGTGTGAGCCTTTGTGAAAGACTCAAGAATCCAGAGCACATAGCAAAGGTCAACCCGAGGGAGACTTAGAGGAGGAGGGGTGGGGAGGTCTGTCCCCTTTGCTGATGGCCATCTTTAGCACCTTGATGCAGAGTTAGTGAGTTGTTCCTGTTGTCCAACTCCAACGACCCTAACCAACCCACTTACCACGAAGGGCTGCTGGCCCAAGGCTTCTGACCACACTTGTCAGTGAGTGCAGCTGTCCAACCATCTCTTCGACCACCTTTTATCCTGACAACCACTCCAGCCGACACACCTATGTCTTCTTTTCCACTAGACAATGCTCCCTTTCCCTTTTCAAACTCTGTGCCCCCCAGAGCCACCCCAAGTTCGCCATTCCAGGACAGCCTGCCTGGTGCCCACCTTCCGTGTTTACAGGGTAGGCTCAGGGCCATGAACTCGTGTGTCAACCCAGTGGTGAGAAGGCTATCATCTTTCTTGTTTTTCTGAGGAATCAGAGCTCTTGGTCAGGAGTCACCATCTGCAGACTCCTGGCACGGAGGCTTTTCCAAACACCACATTACTTTTTCATGGTCTCTGACCTGCCTCTGTCCATCTATCAGTAACAAAATCTCCAAGGAACATGAGCCCCAAAGAGCAAACCCTTCTAGCATGCTGCTGTTTTGCAGATACAGTGGCTTCCTACGCCTATTTGTTGACCCCCTGACATCTCCATTCCTCAGCTTTGCAGACTGGGAAAAAGAGGCTTTGTTTTTGAAATTATAAGTCCACAGGACAAAGAAACCACTCAGAATTCCAGTCATCTGGGCAACCAGCCAGAGGGATCTGACCCTGACGGTGCAGGGCAGAGTTTTTCTTTTTTTAAAGTCAGGACTCAAATGAGAAGAAGGAGATAACTAATACAAATCTTGAAATATCAACTGGTTTGGGAAATCTGTCCCCCCTGCCTCCTGCCACCAGTTCCTTTGTTTTTGGAGGTTAATTTTGAAGATATATCTTACAGATAAAAGCTGAATTTTCGAACAGCTTTATTCAGATAGAATTCACATACAATCCACCCTTTTAAACGTGTGTACAATGGTTTTTAGTATATTCAGAGTTGTACAACCATTACTATCTAATTTTAGAACATTTTATTGCCCCCACACAAAACCCATCATCAGTCACTCCATTTCCCCTCACCCTCAGGCAACCATTCATCTAGTTTCTGTCTCTATGGATTTGCCTGTTCTGGACAGTTCATAAGAATACGATCATCGACTCTGGTTTTTTGTGACTGTCTTCTTTCACTTGCTGTAATGTTTTTGAAATTCATCCATGTTATATAGCATGTATCAGTACTTCAATCCTTTTAATGGCAGAATAATAGTCCACTATATGGATATACCACAATTTGTTGATCTACTCATTTGTTAATGGGCATTTTGGTTATTTTTATTTTTTGGCTTTTATGAATAGTGCCATGAATATGCATACATAAGCTTTTGTGTGGGTGTATGTTTTCATTCTCTTGCATATGTATACCTAAAAGTGGGATTGCTGGGTCATAGGGTAAGTCAGTATTTAACTTTGTGAGGGCCTGCCAGACTGCTGCATCATTTCACAGTCCCACCAGTGGCTTTATAAGAATTCAATTTCTCGGGCCGGGCGCGGTGGCTCAAGCCTGTAATCCCAGCACTTTGGGAGGCCGAGACGGGCGCATCACAAGGTCAGGAGATTGAGACCATCCTGGTTAACACGGTGAAACCCCGTCTCTACTAAAAAATACAAAAAACTAGCCCGGCGAGGTGGTGGGCGCCTGTAGTCCCAGCTACTCAGGAGGCTGAGGCAGGAGAATGGTGTAAACCTGGGAGGCGGAGCTTGCAGTGAGCTGAGATCCGGCCACTGCACCCCAGCCTGGGCAACACAGTGAGACTCCATCTCAAAAAAAAAAAAAAAAAAGATTTTAATTTCTCTTTGCCAGCACTTGTTATTATATCTTTTTGACTCCAGTGCTATCTTCGTAGATGTGAAATTATGTCTCATTGTGGTTCTGATTTCTATTTCCCTAATGACTAATCTGTATTTCCCTAAGCATCTTTTCATATGCTTATCGGCCATTTTATATCTTTTTCTGAGAAATGTGTATTCAGATCTAAAATCTGTTTTAAAAAGCAATGTCATTTTAAATTAAATGTGGAGATAACCTATGTTTATTCCGTATATTTACATCTCTTCAAAACTCAGCTAGAGGTGACCATGTGACTATATCCTGACCTGAGATACAGATGAAGCTCCTGGGTAAAGGACCCTGAGAAATCTGTTTGAAGGAGGCTGCCTTCAGGGAAAGAACTTTTTTTTTTTTTTTTTTTTTTTTTTTTTTACGAGCTGATCTCTCTAGTCCTTCTTGCCTGAAATGGATAAGATGACTGCAGCTCCAGCAACCGTTTTGAGCCACAAGGTTACCCTGAAGAGGGAAACCTCGCATTAAAAATGGCCAAGTTGCGCGGCAGAACCTGGGCTCCTGATGACATTGTGGCACCCATGCCAGCACTTAACCATCCACCTCCAAGCTTTTCCCACATGCAAATGAACCTCTAATGCCTTTAAGCCACTTTATTCAGCTCTCTATTCTGGCCATTGAAAGTGATTCCCGACTGACCCCCAGCCATGTTAGATCATCACTCCTTCCTTTTCCATTTATCCAGTTTCTATTTTGTCATTCATTTTTCCATCACTGAGACCTGAATCTTGACCTCAAGTAGCTCAGCAGCTACCAGGCAGGGCTGACTTACAAAATCGACTTACGTGATAAGGGTCACACTACAGAAAAATGTACAAAGGCCATGAAAACAAAACAAAAAAAAAAAAAAAGGAAAGAATTGGCACTAGACGGTGTTCTAAAAGATGAGTAAGAAGTTGCCAGGCAGATAGGAAGAAGACAGGCATTCTAGGAAGAAGGAACAGCACCTACCAAGCGATGGTGACATTGGAAGCATGGTGGGCTCCAAAGACTGCATGTACCTCGGTACGGCTGGGGTGTGGGGAGATCTGTGGGAGAGTAGCAGATGAAACTTGGAAAGTGGTCTAGAATCAGATCTTGCAGGGCCTTGTATATCATTCCCAAGAATTTGCATCGGCTATATAATCAAATACTCCATGCAAATACTGAAATGTATTGTCTTTAATGGCTAATTGTGTCCCATATGGTATCATCTCTGCAATTGGAGGGCAGGGGCCATGTCTTCTCTTTTATAATCTCTACAATGCTCAGCCCAGCGCTGCTACATGCCAGAAACGGAAAAATATCTGTGGTATTAAAGTCAGCCACATAGCCTAAGGGACCCACGCAGATGGCTATAAACAAAGCTTCAAGATGCAATTCCCACAAAGAAATAAAATGTGTAAGAAATTTATAAAAGATATGAGGGATGACCATGGACGCAGCACCTTCTTCAGTCAACAATATGCTGCATGTCTCCGCTGTTTCCAGTCAGCTTCTGGGACAGGGATGGGGAAGGCATGGGCCCTCCTCTTGAGGGCTCACAGTAGAGAGGGGAGACACACACAGAGAAGGCTACAGTAAGTCAGAGTGCTCTCTGCAAGGCAGAATGGAAACCCAGAGAAGGAAGTGTCACTGGAAGGCCTAGAGTTAAGGTTCTCACGTCACATGAATGTGTGTTCAGGCGATGTGACCTTGAACCCAGCCTTTGATCTGTGTGATGTTCCCAATGACCACATGTGACACTAGTCCCCACCTTCAAGGACTGTGAGGATTAGGGAGGTGGTGTGTGTGAAGGGCCAGCACACACACAGCACAGAGTTGAGTGATCAGTAAATGTTAAGTAGAAAAAAGGTCATTATTTGAAGTGGTCAAAGGTTGTATTCCAGGTGATGGGCACAGCTCTTGTATGGGCTGAAGGCTCCAAACAGCCCTGACAAGTTTGGGGAACAGCAAGGAACTGGAGGCTGCTACAGGGTAGTGTAGAGGTGAGAGGAGCCTGAGCTTGACCTTGTAGCTGATGGGAAACTACTGAAGTTGGCAAACAAAGGAGACATCTGCATTGTAGAGTGCTCCTTCTGCTGCTGGCAGCATGGAGGGAAGTACGGTGGGGTGAGTGCAAGATGGACAGCTGCTGCTAGGGGTTAGCCAAGGACATGAGCTGCACCCACAGCACACTTACTTCTGCCTATGATCAAAAAGGATGTTCAGGCCAGGCATGGTGGCTCACTCCTGTAATCTCAGCACTTTGGGAGGCCAAGGTGGGCAGATCACCTAAGGTCAAGAGTTCAAGATCAGCCTGGCCAACATAGGTGAAACCCTGTCTCCAGTAAAAATACAAAAAGTAGCTGGGTGTGCTGGTGTGCACCTGTAATCTCAGCTACTCAGGAGGCTGAGGCGGGAGAATTGCCTGAACCCGGGAGGCAGAGGTTGCAGTGAGTCGAGATCGTACCATTGCACTCCAGCCTGGGCAACGGGAACGAAACCCCATCTCAAAAAAAAACACAAAAAAACAAAAAAACAAACAAACAAAAAAAACGATTTCCAGTCCTAGGAGTACCTGGAAGGGTATAAAAAGGCACAGACCCAGCAAACTGCCAGGGGTACATGGTGGCGCAAAAGCAGGACAAGGAGGAAAAGGGAAGTTCTGAATGAGCTTCAGGAAAATCAGGGGTACTCAACCAGAAGGCAGCTGAAGGGAAATGGGCATAGATTTAAAAGCAGAGAGATGGCATACCGCCACCCCTTTATGGGCACTGATCCAGAACACATTTTTCGGTCAAAGCATACACAGCTGTATACTTAAGAAAATCAAACTAAGCCTCCTCAGGTTATCTGGTCGTGGCGTTCTCTGCTATTTTCTCTAGTTTCTGGCGCTCTGATTTTAATCAGAAATACTTCTGATAAGGGCAGCGAGTCCAGATGTCAGCGCGTGACTGCAATTTGTGAGCAGGCATGGCTTTAGGCTAGGACAGGTCTGAGAATCAGCCCTCATTAGATGCATAAAATAAATGGAGGTGGGCCTAGGAAAACGAATAGATGCTGTTCTCTGTACTGTTAAGCATATAAAACAGCATTCTGGACAGATGCTTGAATTCTCTTGGCAGAGAGAAGGAAAGAAGGGCTCGGCTAGAGAGAAGTGAATCTTAGGGTGAGCAGGGTCGGGGCCACTGCACATAAGGTTGAGCTTAACTTCATGCAAAGCCAAGGTTTAATGTGACACTGGAATCTCATGGTGGCCATCCTGGAGTGGATTCACAAGGAGATTCACTGTGGTATCAAAGGGCCCTTACTGTGATGGGTCTCCTGACAAGACCCATCAAGAAACATAAAATCGACCATCTCTTTGACCCAGTGATCCCGCTAATGAAAGTGGCACCCCAGGGGACAGTTAGAAAACTGGGGGAGGAGTGTCAGGGAAGGTATCTGTATAAAGACCAATGTTTGTTAAATCGTACTAAAAGATGCTTATAGCCACTTCATTCCCTATAGTGAAATAATGATGTACGTTAAGCTGATGAACTATTAGGCAACAACTAAAAATAACTAGGAAGCTCGGTTTTAGAAATGTTAAAGAAAGAAGAACCAAATGGTGTGTATACACTGATTACACATTCCATGAAAACCTGTACAGATCATAAGTTGAACACAGAGATACAAAGCCTTTTCTTTTTAAGGAAAAGGTAATTCTTTTTGGAAAAACAATAAAACCTGGGTTCCCAGCAAAGACAGTGGCACAGTTACCAGACTACTTGCAACCTGGGAGACCTGCACTGGGAACAGGGCCCACTCTTGTATTTTTTGGTTTTCAAAAACTGTGAACAACTATGGCTGTGTGTGGAGAGGGTGGTGTGGGGTGCGGTGAGGGGAAGTGGACACTCCGTTCAACCTCAGGGAATAATGACCAAAAAAAAAAAAAGGCGGGGGGAGGTGGAGGGGAAGGAATGCAGTACACAACAGAGAAAATGCTTAAAACCTGGCCAAACTGTTACCAAGCATGTGAGCTTTCAGAGTTAGGGAGAATGTGGCAATTAGAAATGTAGCAGAGGGCTGGGCATGGTGGCTCACACCCATAATCCCAGCACTTTGGGAGGATGAGGCGGGCAGATCATCTGAGGTCAGGAGTTCGAGATCAGCCTGGCCAGCATGGGTGAAACCCCATTTCTACTAAAACTACAAAAGTTAGCTGGATGTGGTGGTATACATGCCTGTAATCCCAACTACTTGGGAGGCTGAGGCAGGAGAATTGCTTGAACCTGGGGAGAGGAGGTTGCAGTGAGTTGAGATTGTGCCAGTGCACTCCAGCCTGGGCAGCAGAGTGACACTCCATCTCAGAAAAAAAAATAAAATAAAAATAAAATAAAAACAAAAACAAAAGAAATACAGTGGAGAAAGAAGATGTTTCAGTTGAGGGCAGAAGAGATGCAATATTTCTGGCTACTTCTACCACTGGACAAACGCTCACTTACTATGTATGAGTGACTATATAGATGCAGCCTGAGATTTATTAAGAAACACCATAACAAAACATCAATAGGCCAAGATGACAGGTTTTCACTACAATACCTTACTTCCTTTGAACATTTGGATTTTCTAGTTTTCCTAGACAATGACCTACACCAATCACACCATCCCTGGCCTCTTGCCCCCAGTACACACACCTTAAACATGAAGATAATGTCCACAGCCCACCGGGGCAAAACACCTCACCCAGCCAGCTAACGGGGCGGGCAGGCAGGATGACCGCAGTAGTTTCATCTACTCTCATCTTTTCAGTGGGTCAATGAATTCCTTTCAATTATCATCACTTACCTTAGCCATGTAGTTTTTTACATGAACTGCTTGCCAAATAACCGACTTAGCTCAATTTACTGGCTTAAAAGGACACAGTATGGCATGGGCAACTTCAGGTTGTGTTAACTGTGAAGACCAGTACGCATCCCCGTTCCAAATTCTAAACTCAACTACCTCATCTGCATGTCACAACAAGGTCAGCTGAAAACCTCCCTGCGGGCTGCACTTGAGCTTTCACAGGGAATAAACGGCCCCACAAGTCTGGTAAATGTATGGCTAAACGCAGCAGGAATCTCATGTATATGGATCTGAATGTTCTCCTTTGGGAATTCTGCAGCAAACAAAATGATTTATTGAGCCAATTCAAACGAACTCTATCAAAACACACAAAGGCCTGGAGGAGAGATTACAATGAAAGTAAGTAATTCCAGGCAATTTTTGATCTAAAGCATTTTGCTTAGCTCAACAAAGGCACGAATGAGGTGTGGTCATGTTTTTCTATAGGAGGTTTTGCCACTACTTGCTCCCAAGTTAAACATGGCCACAGAGTACTGTGAATGTTTAATGTCTGCCTGGGAGAAATGTATTGGCCAATACTTTAGTTACTAATGGGAGGATTATGTCTAGTCGGACCAGGAAGTGTGTAAAAGCAGATCACTTGGAGCCGCTGTGTCCAGGACAGCAGCACTAGATGCACGGACCCTTTGAGCATCTGAAACAAGGTTAGCATGACTAAGGAACTGGGTTTTATTTTTTCAAACTTGATATTCAATTCAGTTACTGAAAAACTTTACTATGTTTAAGTATCTTTGGAACAACTTGGATATGAATTTGTGTTTTTCAACTGCACATTTTATAAAACCTAAATACAGATCAAGTATTCCTGATGAAAAGTTAGCATCCAAATTGAGATATGCATAACTGGATACACAGTGAGTTCTGAATTCTTGGTGTGAAAAAGAATAATTTCAGATCTCACTAATAATTTGCATATATTGAGTACATGTTGGAATATTTTGGATATGCTGAGTTAAAAATAATTTCACTTTTTAAATATGGTTGCTAGAAAATTGAAAATGAGAGTCTGGGCTTATTTTTTTTTTTAATTTTGAGACAGAGTTTCGCTCTTGTTGCCCAGGCTGGAGTGCAACGGCACAATCTCGGCTCACTGCAACCTCCGCCTCCCAGGTTCAAGCCATTCTCCTGCCTCAGCCTCCCAAGTAGCTGGGATTACAGGCGCATGCCACAGGTTTATTTTTTATTTCTGTTGGAGGGTGCTGTTTTAAGAGTATGGAGCTGACATCTAAGAACTCTAATGCCATCTGCTGGATACACTGGTACAAGACAGGCCCGTGTCACACAGTAAGACTGTGATGGTGTGTCAATACTCAAAGAACTGGATCTGAAACAGAAAAGGGCTCGCAAAACACTGAACTAAATTTATACTGTTAAGAGAGGATTATAAATAGGTTTATTTAGTTTTTGAAATCCCAGAGAAAATGTGACTCACAGTTATTAGACAACAGTTACCATGAGCCAACGAGCACAACTGCTTCGTCATCCACCTGAATGCCACAGGCATGGATGTGGTCACCTGGGCTGGACCCTTTGTGATGCTGGCTCCCATACCTACAGCTCTTCCTGCTGCCTGCCTTGCCCCATCTCCCTTCTCCTTTCCACTCCAGTCAGCCTCGGGTCCTTCTGCTCTGCGTTACACATACATCCTCTTTCCATCTTTTGTCTATTCATTATTTTCTTCCTACCCTTTCTTTTTTCTATTTTTCCTGTGATTCTAGCATGTCTAATAATTCTATTTTTCTTTTTAGTATTCCAATTTTTCTTTTTTTCTCCTCCCTCTTTATCCTACCAGCTGTTTCAGTTGGTTTTGTAGTTTTAGCTCTTACATTTAGGTCTTCAATTCATCGTGAGTTGATTTTTTGTATGTGGCATGAGGCAGAAGTCCAAACCCATTCTTTCGCATGGAATATTCAGTTATCCCAGAACCATTTGTTGAAAAGACTGTTCTTTCCCCACTGGATGGTCCTGGCACCACTGTCAAAAATCAGTTGACCACGGATATATGTTTTATTTCTGGACTTTCGCCTCTATTCCACTGATCTATGTGTCTATTCTTATGCCACTACCACACTGTGTAGATTACTGTAGCTTTGTGGTTAGTCTTGAAATCAGGAAGTGTGAGTCCTCTCTGTTTTTTCTCTAGACCCCTGTTTTGGCTATTCTGGGTTCCTTGCATTTCCATGTGAATTTTAAGATTAGCTTGTCAATTTCTGCAAAAAAGGCAGCTGGGTTAGCTGGTTTTTATGTGTATTTATTAAAAAAAGCAATTACCCGATTAGGCTGACAGAATGATTAGGCTGACCATTAACAGAACTGGCATCTTTACCCTCGGTGTTTAGAGGTAAGTTTGTAAGAATTCAGGATGTTTGTCTAAGATTGCTTGATACTAGGGCAACAAAACTAAGAGCAGAGGGCACTGAAAAGACTGTCTGCAAGTTAGACATCAATTGTGTTTAAGTCTGAGATCTGAGATCTGCTCCTTAGGTACCATATGACCCTGCACGAGTCATCGACCCCTCCACACTCCAGTGTCATCTGTAATGAGGATGGGGCACTCCCTTCCACACTGCAGCACTGTGGGAACAGAGACGATGCCATTGCAGAGGACCCCCAGGGGACAATCTCCTTCACTCACTCGTCTCCTTCCCACTCCTCGAGGAACATCAAGGACTTGTGCTACCACATTCTCACAGCACTCACTGGCCTGGGAACCAGCTATGGGAGCCCTATGGGCCTGGTCATCAACTCTCAACTGCTTGTCTGCACCTGTAGGAACCCTCTGAGGTGTGGCAGGCAGAGGATGGGGTGGGTGCCCAGGCACCTCGCTGAATTTCTGGAGCCCTGCCCACCCCAAACCCTCTCCTTGTTACTAATGACATGGGGACCCACCTGCTCCACTGTGCAGCCCCAAGTCTGATCCAAGTCAGGTTCCTGAACGTGAGGAAGCTGAGCATGGGGGCGACAGGGAGGTGGGATGCGCTGAAAAGCTGTAACCATTGCCGCTAAGGCGTATCATTCTCTGACCAGGCCCAGCAGCCTCCACGTACGTCTGTCATTCAACACACATTTACTGAATGCCCACTGCACACAGGAGTGTAGGTAATAGGATGGTATGACAGTAAAAGTAAGTAAACAACTCCCACTTCTACCTTTCTGGACTATGAAGAGCTCCTCCTGGTCTTCCTTATCATTTCCTATGTGATTACTTCCGGGTCCTCTTGGAGAACAGAGCATTTCGCCTCCCATGCAGTCTGCCACTGCTTGACAGGGAGAAATTCCTCCTCACCTATGGTTCCATCAGCTGATCTGGAAGCTGAACCCTTGGAATAAAGACACCTGCATGCTAGTATTTGCAAAAGGAATGGAAAAGAACCCTTAAATATGAGTAAGTCGTGGGAGTAGGTATGAAACAGATAGGGTTTTAAGCACATCTCAGTGTCAAATTCTACAGAATAAATACTTCTATTCTATTGCAGTTCACGTGTAAATACAGGTAGGTATGTCCATATCCCTCTTAGAAAAAAATGAACAGCCAAGTGGCCAAAGTTTCCACAACTTTCCTCCTTCCTGACAAATCCAACCTCAAGTGTGTGCCTCCTAGGAAAAGGAGAGGACAAAGGTACAAATTCAGTTCCTAAAGTCATTTCTCTCTCTCTGGGAGAGAAAGGCACTATCAAAGTACAAACCCAAGTCAGGGTGCTTTGAAAGATCAAGTCACTTGTTTGTAATAGGAAATCATGTCATCCAGAGTTTTGAAAGTAACTGTGGGGGCTTGTGGTGGGTTGTCGGGGGCAGGAGTGGGTGACGTATGTGCAGGGCTAGGTCCGTGGCTCTGGTCAGAGGACTGCCCTGGGTCACTCTGTGCTGGCCCAGGCCTGCTCCATGCCTGGCTGCTGGAAAAACCAGTTCTCTTCTGACCCACAAAGTAATCTGACGGTGGGGCAAACTCAGGATCTCTCTCAGCCCGGAGATCTGACTGCCTCTTCGACCAGTATCCAAAGGAAAATTCTAGTAAAAATGAGAAAGAAAATTATTAGAACAGATTAACAAATCAGTTGAATTTATTGTTACTATTATCTAAGCGTTGCATATATTTCTTAAAAGCCACCACAAACTATCCAAAGAATAAGAATGGCAACAGTAAAACTATGTTACAAGGTGTAAGTAATACCTACAACCAGTATAAAAGACCAGGCTAAGAAAAGGGAGTGACTACCTCTAGATGGGAAATACAGAAAAAGAGAAATACAGACAAATCATCTTCTTGACACGACACTGTAGGTGTTTCAAACCAAAATACAAATTTTGTCCTTTATTGAGTTTTGGAAGACACAAACGGGACCTGCCCAACCTTGTTCGGTATTTCACCTCTATTTCTAACAGTGGCTCTTGCATTTCTCTTACTTTAGCTTTGGATCTTATCAGCTCAGACAGCATGGACTATATTCTACTGAAATGATTTTTTTCAAAGAGGCATAAACCATAGTCTTCCAAAGAGAGGCTGCTGTGGACACTCTAGAGAATTTACTGAAAAAATGTCCAGGAAAATTCCCCAGTGGAACCATGTGTGAATCCAGGTTAGTACACTGGCATGCAAACCATTTTCAACTGAACATAAAAGAGGCTGCAAAAAACAGAGCACATGAGAACACCAAACCTTCGTAATACTTTAAAGGCAGATCCTGAGAAATGGCATTCCAAAGCTGTAAAACCACACAAGGCAGCACAAAGTTAAAACTTACCCCAGGTGCTTCTGGAAAAAAAACCATTTTCCATTCACCAGAGAGTTCTTACACCTCAGAGCCCACCTCCCTTACCTTTTCCGCGGTCCCACTCCCGGATGTGTGGCACTCCGGGCTTGGTGTCCTTCCTCTCCTGGACAATGACTTCTACCTTGCTACTCTGGGCAGCAGGACGTGGAGCTGGCACAGGCTCTGGCTCCAGTGGCAAAGGCCCAATAACATCTCCATCTATTTTTTTGTAAGGGAATAAGACACTGTCATAACAAAGCCTAAAGCTATTTTTAAAAATGTAGAACATGCTAATCCTGAAAGTAAAAGTAACCATCAATATTTATGAAGTACCTATCACGTCCCTGGCAGTGGATTAAGTCTTTTGTATACAACAGGTTATTTAATTCTTATAACAATCCTAATAAATTCAATATTTCCATGTTATCCCCATTTTATAGAGGGGGAAAATTAAGCTCCGAAATGGTACACAGGTAGAAAGTGATACGGGCTGGGGTCCTGGGCTGGGCTGAATGGATTTTAGTCTCTGTGCCCCTCACTATGCCACTCTGCTTCTCCAAACTGGCAATTACAGGACCAGAAACCCCCAAATCACTCAACTAACATCACAATCTGAGGCAAAGCGAGCAGAGCCAAGGGGATGAAGAGTTGGGGTCTGGTGTAGGCTGTTCAATTTTGGTCACATTTTTTAAATGTAAAAGAAACATGGATTTTTAAAAAACACTGTGGTGGCACTTCACATTTTCCAGACATGACAGATGTTCAGGAGATGGAGCAAAATTAGAGAAACAATCTGCACAGCTTAACATGTTATAGAGACAGCATTTATCTGAAACTAAACAGATGATTTTCAAATTCCCAAATGTTTCTGGTCTGTTTTGTTCAGACATTAGGAAACGGCCCATGGCTTCACATAAGCTTTGTGAGAGCTGGAGAGCTGTACGACCCCTCATACCCACACTCCCCCTTTTCCTTTGGGTAATAGAATGCCCCCAGCTTTCAGCTGAGCATGTGGCCAGCTTGCTGGAGAGGCCATTTCCCAGCTTCTCCTACAGTGAGGTGTGGCCCACAGGACTGAGCTCTGGCCAGCGGGATGTAAATGCATAGGTCGTATGTAAGTTCCCACTCATATCTCTAAAAAGGAAGCTGGCTCCCTCCCTCGTCTCCCTGCCTACCCCTAGGCTGGATCATGAACACGGGAGCAGGGGAGCAAGCTTTGTGCAGAAGAAAAAAATACTCTAGGAAATGGCAGAAACAGCAAGACTGGAGGAAGCCTGGGACTAGATGACCACCTGGGGCAAAGCTGCTCACCTACCCTGGATACCCACTCACCCACCCACCTCCAAGTTGTTAAGTAGAGAAACAGATCTCTATTTTGTTTGAGCCATTCTATGTAGGAGTCTCTAGATTGATGGCAATTTAGCTTATACTACCACAACTTATACAATAAGCTAGTCTGACACAGCATTTAATAGTGTTTCCAAGGGGAACCGTGCTCCAAGTTCCAAATCACCAACTTCTGCAGCACAGTTCTTTGGTAAGCTTTGGCAAGCTGTCGATATTCGTATTTCTAAATTCTTTTACTACATAACTTTATGAATATGTTTCTTTAAATATATATATAAAATAACCAATAGCAAAAAATGTAAGTCTAAAACATATATATGCAAAACTAAACTTTATCTTAAAATATCTCTTTACTAAGTCTCAATTACAAGACTATGCCATTCTAAGACGCAACACAATGTATTGTTGCTTCATATCCTCATCTATAGCCTAAAAATATTGAATGTCATTCTGCATCACTTTGGTTATAAAAATTGCTCCTGCCAGTACCTCAAAGGTATACTGTTTGCTTAGATATAAAACTAAATGGCTAATTTTCACGTTGCCAGCCCTATTAGCAAGACGTCAATGGAACAAAATTTTCCCTTTTGAAGTTCAGCAACATAGACATGATATACCTCTGTTTTCTTCCTCTGTTCCACCTTCTTTTGATTTTTTCATCTTTTTTTGTCGAAGTTTGGCAAGTCTTGCCTCTAAGATAGCCTTTCGCTTTTCCTTTATGTTTTCTCGTTTTGTTCTCTGATCTGTTGTCTGAATAGAAAATCAGAAAATTATTTGCTTGAAGCCAAATTTGCAATATTCCTGTTCAAAAAGATGAAATTTTCTTCTAAAAATAGACTAGCTAATTGATCTTCAGGCCACCTCTAAGAAGCTATCTTTGAGATCCTTACAATGAAGCCCTATGAAGTACTCTTATACGAACCCTCCGATGTCTTACAAAGTTTCGTAAGCGTTCAAAGAGCATCTTGCAAGCCTTAACACTCAAGAAAACCAACCCATTCCGTCCTACACCTTAATCCCTTAAGTAACTTACTATTTTCCCATCCAAGCCGCTCCAAAGTACCACATTTGGCACCAGATTTAAAACATCAAAGTTGCACAGGTTACTTGTGAGCAGTTATAAAATTTGATACACAAAAATAGTAGGGCAACTACCTTTATGCAATTCCAAATATCAATTTTAATTTCTAATTAATTTACTAGATTTTCCTGCAGTGTGGTCCAGCAAGAAACCAAGCGCTCGCATCCTTCCTCACAGCCACTTGGGATTTATCTGTACCTGTTCACGCAGCATCTCTAAGGTTTTCATCTGCTTGTTTCTCAACTCTTTGTCTCGGGCAAAGGCAAAATACCCAACGCCGAGTTGCCGGGCCTCTGAAAGAAGTGCAAATTACCCAAAAGATCAGACTGTCCTGATCATTCAACTACACTCAAGCCACATTTCCTACCAAAGCAAAAAGAAACACAGTGATATTCGGCACAAGTTTTAAAAAGAAAAAGAAAAACAGCTAAGTGAAAAAACAAAACACCAAAGAAACACAAAAGTTAGACCAAGTTTTCGTCCTGTTGGCCAAGGGAAGCATAACAAGCATTCGTTTGCTTTCAGCCATGGGCTGTCTCCACTTCTCTTGGGAAACAATCCCTTGGATTACCAGACCCTCTGTCAGGAAGATATTCCCAATGTGAGTATTTTAAGGCTATGAAGTGAACAAAGGAGATATTTTCAATTTCCAAAGCAGGATCTTTAATTTCCATGTAAAAGCTATTGCTTTATGAATACTTCCCTTAATGTTTGCCATCAGTTTAAGATTAGAAAAAAGATTTGCAAAGCTGCAAGAAAATAGTCATACCATTTTCCCGAATGTCTTCATAATGTACGGGCCCCATGGGCCTCTTCAGGGCCTCTCTTTCTTCTTCCTCCCATTGCTGGCGCTGAAGTTCTTTTCTCATATCTTCAGATAACAGGGTTTTTTCATTAGCAGGACTAACAAAACTAGCAGGAAAACACAGCAAAAACTATCTTCAGATAAGGACTGAGATATCAGTGTTTAAGTACAGTCAGTTGCATCATGGATAAGTAACACTACTTGATAAAGAAGACAGGGAACTACAGAGGCTTCTGACCCACAAGACTGCTAGAAAATCAATTACACAGCCTTCGCCTTTTTTTCTTTTTTTTTTTTCTTTTCTTCTTTTTTGAGACTAGTCTTGCTCTGTCACCCAGGCTGGAGTGCAGTGTCACAATCTCGGCTCACTGAAACCTCTGCTTCCTAAGTTCAAGAGATTCTCCTGCCTCAGCCTCCCGAGTAGCTGGGATTACAGGCACCCACCACCACATCCGGCTAAGTTTTGTATTTTTAGTAGAAACAGGGGTTCACCATGTTGGCTAGGCTGGTTTTGAACTCCTAATCTCAGGTGATCTGCCTACCTTGGCCTCCCGAAGTGCTAGGATTACAGGCATGAGCCACTGCACCTGGCCAGCCTTCGCCCTTCTTACTCAAGCACGAGACTCGTTACATTAGCATGACGGAATCTTGCCCGAGCACTCAAGACATAAAACTTTCCTTCCACCCAGGTCCTGGGCTGACCAGATGGGAGGTGGCCCAGGCAGGGAGGAGGAACTCCGGGTCTCCTCCTGTGGATGGTCTCTCGTCTGGGGACATGAAAACTGCTTAACATTTTGGCCTCAGTGATGTCTCCTGTCCTTGCAGATGACCAGGCCCTGAGAAGCTCAAGGTTTCCACTCTCCCTTTCTTATGCCAAGCCAAAGGCTATCTGTTGGATGCCTGAACCTGCAGGACTTGGACAAGGTGGAGTTTCTCCCAACACTTCTCACATAAAAGTTCCTGTAGTAAGAGGAATTTATTCCCCTGGATGTTTCAGAGCTCTCTCTTAGGTCTTGTGTTTTAGAGTTACCTCTCAGATTTTATGTTTTAGAGTTATCTCTTAGGTCTTAGGTCTTAGGTCCTGCTGAAAAATCTAGTTATAAGGTCCTTGGCCAGGCATGGTGGCTCACGCCTGTAATCCCAGCACTTTGGGAGGCCGAGGCGGGAGGATCACAAGGTCAGGAGATCGAGACCACGGTGAAACCCCGTCTCTACTTAAAAAATACAAAAAATTAGCCGGGCGCGGTGGCGGGCGTCTGTAGTCCCAGCTACTCAGGAGGCTGAGGCAGGAGAATGGCGTGAACCTGGGAGGCGGAGCTTGCAGTGAGCCAAGATCGCGCCACTGCACTCCAGCCTGGGCAACAGAGCGAGACTCCGTCTCAAAAAAAAAAAAAAAAAAAAAGTCCTTAATTCAAAAATGCAACGATACATAAAGAAAAAGTGAATAAGTTCTCTCCCTGGAGCCACTTGCTTGTGGGAAAATCATGTATAAATTCTCAAACCACTTTCTCCACAAAGGCTGGTTTGCTGGTTTGGTTTGGGCTTATTCTGTTATTCTGTTACTCTGTAGTCAGATATCCTTCAAGGTGAAAGAGGCAGCTCTACTCATTCACCAGTCAGGTTGTTCTCCAAGGGTGGATTATGTGTGTATGTGCATGCTAACCACTAAAAAGTGCTTCAATCAATCAGTATCTCCTTACTGGAGCAACAGAGATCATTAATTATAAAACAGCCTCCCCTCACAAAACAATCCCTATGGCTGCATTTCAGACCTGGGCAGAGCTCTGCATACCACACACACTTACAGTCTCCCCTGAAGATTTTTATCCATCTCCAGCAGATCTGGCAAATCTTTTCTCATACAACGCCGGGAACGCCCCAAAGAGTCCACATAATCCACCCTGAAATGAAAGCAAAAAGATGTGAAGGACTTGTACACATGTACAAGCCCCTAAGTCAGGGAGCAGGTGAACAGTGAAGGGGAAAGAGAAGCCTCACTACCAAGAAGAGCCCCCAGCCTCAGAGACCACCACCACTGATAGGAATATGCGTTTTAAAGCTGACACACAATAAGCTCATTGTGCTCCTTATTAAATATTAGTTTTAGAAACTGTTGACAATAATTTTGATCATTTATGTCTTTGATTTCACAGATAAATCACCCACACAGAATTTTGCTGCAGCATCTATGAACTTACTTTAAGCTAGTTGAGACAATTCCAGACATTTTATCAGTATCTTAGTAACTTTGCCTTGTGCCTGAGATTTTCAACTTGCTCATTTCCTCACAGACTTCAAGTCAGACTTTTCCTTCTTTCTCTTATTTCCTCTAATTGGTATAATTCTACCCAATGTATTAGCAATCTCGTAATGTAAGAAATTCACAGTATTTTTCAGAGTTGGACTCTTCCTAATTAGGGGGAAGCCAAACACCATACCTCTCTCCTCATCTTTGCTCAAACTAGACAGTGGTTAGACAGTTAAGCCAGGCAGATAGCAAGGCAAAATGAAATATTCTGACTTCCTACAATAGAAAATATGGATGGATTTTCATGAAAAACATCTCATTTGTAATATGACGCAACAGATATTTTACTTTTAAAATTATGGGCAGAGAATCTCCTACAGCCTTTAGCAGGGTACTGAATACATACTTAAGGGTCCAATAAGTACTACCTGGCAGACCAATCTAAGGTCAGATTCGGCAGGTATGTGGCTTTGCTTTTGTTAGCAATTTTTTTTCCTCTCAAGCAATGCTGATTTCAATTGTTAGTTGTGATTTAAAAACTGAGTGTTTACTCTAGTACTGAAGCTGATTATCACAAGAAATAAAACCTCCAACTGCAGCAAGCAGTTTCTTTCTTCCGTTTTTTCCCCCCCAAATGGATGGGGAAGAAAACCATCTAGCCAGATGGTCTGTGTAATTATTTACAGTATCTTGGAAAGATTTTTTACCACCTGGAATTTAACTATCAAAAGGATTTTACAAGCAATTACGATTCTGGAGCTTAATTTAAAAACAAAAAATTGTGTCAGAACTGCTTGCAGAGCGTCTTCCTTCACCATATGGTGGCATGTGACACCTTCAATTGCCCTCCAAACTCTTCAAATCACTGGCAAATTGCTTGTAATCACACAGGCATTAATAAGCAAAAAATTTTAAAAAGACATTAGATGTTTCAAAGGAGATGAGATTTCTGCTTTGAAAAGCAATCATAGACTATTCTGTTTCTGGAGAAGGCCTCCAAAACATACAGATCCCATTAAATAGAAGTGGCAAGACAGTAGTCAGCCACGGCTCCATCTAATCAGCAATCACTCACTGAGCAACCCCTCCAGGCAAACAAAGCTTTCCTCAGGCAAGGAGAGTAATACAGGAGGGCTAACAGCCATGCCATCTTCCAAGGGTCTGGGGAAGTTAAGGCACACACCCATGAAATGCTTATTAACAACACTGGGTACATAAAGACTACCAAAAGTTTGCTAAAATCTTTTTCTGATAATGAGGCCTAGTATGTGTCAATAATAAATAATAGGTAATACCTGAAGAGCAGGAAGTATATTAAGTGCTACCTGACTTTAGATGAGAGAGCAATCACTTAGAGATTAGAAATGATAGGCCAGACGTGGTGGCTCACGCCTGTAATCCCAGCACTTTGGGAGGCCCAGGCAGGAGGACTGCTTGAGACAAGGAGTTCAAGAAGAGCCTAGGCAACATAGTAAGACCCTGTTTCTACAAACAAAAAATTAAAAACTGAGGCAGGAGGATTGCTTCAGCCCAGGAGGTCAAGGCTACAATGAGCCATGATCATGCCACTGCACTCCCGCCGGGGTGACGGAGTGTGGAGACCCTGCCTCAAAAACAAATAAATAAAAAAGAAAGAAATGATGAAGAAAGGCACCAAAAGAAGAGACTGTATGTTCTTCTCTTTTGGTTCCTTATAGCTTGCAGGCTGTTCAAGCCTGTTCCAAATGGTACCAAATGGTACCAAATTATTTAGATGTAAGAAAGTAGGTAAGAAGGTAACTGTTTTATCCCAATGAGAATGTTATTTCTGAACCAACATGGACACCCTCAGTGGAATGAAGATGCAGTTTCTCTGCCATCCACAGTAGCTGGGACTGCTCTCTTCAGCTCATCAATGACTGCCCACAGGGCCAAAGGCTGACAAAAGATCAACGCCTGCTGCAAAGAGTCCTGAGAAGTTCCTAACAAATGCCCACCATGAGGAGGCTATTCCAGCCTTGAAAGGAGGATGAGAAGGATCCCAAAGGCAAGAGGGTGTGTTCCCAGAAAATTGTCAGAGCATCAGTACAGCTCTCAGCAATTTCAAGAATGGCTGAATAGTTTCCAAACAATAATATCTTAGGTAGAAAAAAATCATTGTAACAGAATTCCCATTCTGGTCTCTCTACTTACTGATAGTCTCTTTAAAGAAAAGACGAGTTTGGTTCTTCTATCATTCATCTACATATAGGCAAAATTCAGGAAAATGTCAATAACAAAGGTTTACAAAATGCCTGCTTATACTTCACAGACAGCAGTTTCTTGTGTAGCCCAGAACACTCTTACTTCTTGAAGGGGGGTTAAAGTAAAGGGTCATGGGAATGAGGCAGTATAATCTCCATTTTATAAGGGAAGATCCTGAGCCTCAAAGACTGAGAAACCTGATTAAGATCATACAGTCAGTGAGAGGTGCAGCTGGAACCGTCCAAGGCCCACGAGTCCACACCACACTGCCAAACAATGTCACAGTCAGAGTAAGACACACATGGCCACCACTGCCGGCTTCCTTCTCCTAGATGGCAGCTCTCCACCATGTCAGAACGAGGACACGGGTAAGGCAGCATCACGGGTACAAAAGGAAGGCGCTCTGCCCACACTGTTTCATGTTAGTGACCCAGGCAAGCCAAGTCTGCCAGGCAGAGTCTCCTCGGGCCTGGCACAGGGCTGGGCACACAGCAGGAGCTCAGTCAGTATTTGTAATTATATGTAATTATTGTAATTATGTCTTCATTTGAGCTACTGTTTTTACATCCATAATAACCTAATCCAACCTAACTTAAAAGGAAGTCTCAAAAGAACACCCAGAAACAATAAAGAGAAATGGCTTGATAACAACCCAACAAAATCACTCCCAAAATGTCAGCACAAGTCTGAGGATGTTCCTCAGAGCTAATCCATGATGTTACCAACCATTCTTCACTGGGGTCTTGGGGAGGAGGGATCTCTCCCTCAGGAAGGTTTTCCTCATCGTCGTCCCTTTCTCCTGCCTTTTGAGAATCTCTATGGGCACCAGATGCCTCCATTTCTTTGCGCTTGTCTATGATCTTCTGCGTGAAATCCACAAGGTACATATCCTCCACTTCTTCATCTACAACATAAAAATCAGTTTTCAGACATCAAAAAGGAAAATCACACATAGAATTGACAAGAAGCAGTCACATTCATTGCCTGGTGGCCCCATCACCCCTGATGGCTCATCAGACAATGCCTCCACTCCCCAAACGTTTACAAAGACACAGCCACCTTGGGAACTGACACATACTACACAAAAAAATCTTGAAAAAGCCTAAAGTTTTCTGTTGCCTCATCAATACACTACCTGAGTAAGCAAAACCATCTTAGAATGTCATTTTAAGATAACACAACAGTCTGATTTTATGCAACTCATCCAACCAATTACATCATACAGAAGCAAAACTGCATTTTCCATGTCATCAGATCAGGACAGTAGAACTTCTTGCTTTAGGTGTTACATATCTGTCTCATCATGTGGGCTAGATCACTAACCCTAATTATACTGTTGTGGTTTGGTAAATGTTTTAAAGATCATAATACAGGTAAAAGAAGTCATCTGAGTTCTTGTCAAGCCAATGAACACCAATTCCAGGCAAGGCATGGAGCGAGACGCTACAGGACATATACAGATACACAAGACACTCTCTGCCCACAGGGCTTATGGTCCACTTAAGGAGCTAAAACACACACTGAAAGTTAAACAACAATCCGTGACACCTAATTTAACCCAGGATAGCTCATGTAGCACAAATTATGTATACCTAAAGTTTCACTACGCTGGATTTAGGACACAGTCATTTGAGTCTTTTTCTCTGATGACAGAGATTAAGCTACATTGAACTGACATTAAGCTTCCTATTACCAGTGGTGGTGTTTTCCCCACCTTAGGGTGAAGAAAAACTGAGGCTCCAAAACATAACTTGCCCAAACTTGTAGGTCTGACATATCTATCAGGAGGTGGGCTTGCTGGCTTTAACAAAATCAGGTCTCTACACTCACACTCCTTTGGACCTGATTTCTATATTAACAATATAAATAAAGTTTGAATCAAAACAGAAAAGACTTTAATAAAATAAACTTTTTTTTTTTGAGATGCAGTCTCACTCTGTCGCCCAGGCTGAAGCGCAGTGGCACCATCTTGACTCACTGCAACCTCCACCTCCCGGGTTCAAGTGATTCTCCTGCCTCAGCGTGCCGAGTAGCTGTGACTACAGGCACCTGCCACCACACCCGGCAAATTTTTGTATTTTTAGTAGAGACGGGGTTTCGCTTGGCCAGGTTGGTCTCAAACTCCTGACCTTGTGATCCGCCCGCCTCGGCCTCCCAAAGTGCTGGGATTACAGGTGTGAGCCACCACGCCCAGCCTAAAATAAACTTATTTTTAAAAACCACAAAATCCCTGAAATAGAGAGGAGATGTAGTCTGAGTTATAAGGCCATAGGCTAGTGAGGTCTCCTAGTAAGCGGCCATCCTGCTGCCTCTTCAAGAAGAAGGCAAAGCCTCTCCTACAGTGCTTAGCTTTGTTGAGTGTCTGACCTTCCCGTGCTGGGCTCCTGCTGTACAGGGAAAGTGCCCCTGCGGTCTGGGAAGCAGCAGCCAGGGACCTAGGACCAGCCTTGCCTCTCTCCTACTGTACCTGGGCCCCAGCCATGCTAGGCTAGGTGACTCTGTTGACCTCTGGCCCTGCCCTTCCTCGGCTGGTCTGCTCACCAATCTAGCCCTGCAGGATTCCTTTCTCCAGCTTGCCAAAGGTAAGCCCAACTTCTCCCAAAAGACTTCCCTGATTACATATTCACTTTCCCTGCCTTTTGGGAATGAAATAGGCACTGCCTCATAAAATCTCTTCTACTGTTGTGTAATTATGGATTGGGTTTTTTCTGGGGGGTACGAGATAAGGGAGTTTTGTTGTTTTTTTTTTAGAGACAGGGTCTCACTCTGTCACCTAGGCTGGATCATAGATCACTATACCCAGGATGCAGTGGCAGGATCAACAGCTCACTGTAACCTCAAACTCCTGAGCTCAAGCCTCAGCCTCTTAAGTAGTGGGGCTATAGGCATGAACCACCATGTCTAGTTAATTTTTAAATTACTTTTTGTAGAGACAGAGTCTCACTATGTTGCCCAGGCTGGTCTCAAACTCCTGACCTCAGGTGATCTGCCCTCCTTGGCCTCCCAAAGTGCTGGAATTACAAGTGTAAGCCACTACACCCAAACAGATTTAGAGCAATTATAAGCACACATCACAGAAAAAAAAAAAAAATAGAAAATAGAGGGATAATAGGGAAAGAAAAAAGTAACTCTAGCACCTGACAGAACCACAATTCCACTCAGCCCCACCCACCCTGTTTTAGCACAGCTGTAATTGTAGGTAACTGTGACTGACTCAGACCTTGTTCCCTAACTTTGCTTTGTTCTGTGCCATTTTCCTCGGAGGATGACCCTGCCTTGAGGGCAGAGGCACAGGATCTGGCTTCCAGTACTTGTTTCTCCCTTCCAGGCACCTAACATGCTGCCAGGAACCCACCAGACACTTGGTAAATTATTGCTGATTTTCTTGTCTCTGTGCAGCCACAGAAAGTAAAATTTTGATATCTAAATTTTCTCTCTACTCCTAGAGTTATTTTAACAAGTAATGTAATATCAAAGGGCTGTATGAATTACAGAAAATGAAGTAGAAATAAAAAATTTTATTTACCTATAAAGTCTCCTTTAGTCATTTTTTCATATAATTTGGCTTTTTCTTCCAATTTTTCCCTAGGAGAAAAAAAAATACAAGTATTAGAAATACTCTTAAAACTGTTCATCCTGGTTGCCCCCACACTCCCTGCCTGACAGGTATCATCTGCCCATGCGGCCCAGCCTCATGGGGTCAAGACAACCACAACCAGCACAGACCACACCATCCTGAGGAGACCCTCAGACCACCCTCCTCCATGTCTGCTCTGTCAAGGAAAACAGAAGCTCCATGAGTGCATGGCCTGTGTCCTCTTATTCATCACTGGGTCCCAGGGCCTAAAATGACGCTTGGCACACAGCAGGTTCTCAATCAATATTTGATGAATGAATAAGTGAATCAACTGACTTAAGATTCCAACAACTTAACTGCCAACTTAAAACAAATATCAACATTCCAACAAAGCAGCCTCTCTGCTCACAGTAATTCTGATGACATGTATTTTTCAGTGGTACAGACCATGAGAGGGTGAGCAATTCTTTATTCTGGAAATACTTAATGATGGTAAAGAGAAGCCCCAAAGAGGTCATCTGCGAGTTCTCTTGTGAATGATCACTCTTAATCACAATGTCAGAAATATTCCTCTTTTATTTTACACATCCATTCGCCACGCACTTATTGTACACGTCCTACCTGCCAAGCACTGTTTTAGGCACTGAGGACTCACAGGAATAAGAAAAAGTCCCAGTTTCCTGGGAGTTTCCATTCTAGAGATGGAGAAGGACAATAAAGCTAAATAAATAAAGCAATGAAAAGGAGAATCTGAGACTGTGAGAAGAGCTGTAAAGGGAACAGACACAGGCCAGCAGAGGCCCCTTGACACGCAGTAATGCAGTGCATGGTGGACCAGCTCACTCATATCAGGCTTCTAAGACCCCTATTTTGGAGGGCTCTTACGTAACTAGCTGATCATCAGAGGATTTTACTGTTTTAATGAAAAGAAAACTAAAAAAAATTTAAAAGTCAAACAAAACACAAAGCAACAAGTGTCAGGTTAGAGTGAGTGAGCAGGACACTAACTCAGAGAGGGCAGTCAGGGGAAACCTCTTTGAACATGACAACTTAGCCATGGTTTGCACAGCAAGATGCAGCCAACCACAGGAGGATCTCGGGGCAGGGGAGGCAGGGAAGAAAAAGGAAAGATTAAGTGAGAATGAGCTTGACATTTTCAAGGAAGAGAGACCAGTAGAGCAGAGGGCGCTGAGCAAAACAGAGAATGGTGCAAAATAGACAGACAGGCAAGGACGAGAGCACGTGAGAAAGGATATGAAACTTGGTGCGGTGTAGCAACAGTTTTCAGGGGTCAGGAACAGTCTACAAGTGGATAATCGAGATCAAGGAAGGTGTCAGGGAAACAGCCGCTGGATTTAGTGGATGAGGATGTCACCAGTGACTTTAAAGAACAATGTCTTCTGTTGAGTTAGGAATATGGAATTCAGAGCATGACAGCAGGGACACTGTCTGCAACCTCTAAGTGCCAGACACTATGTATCTCCTTTAATTCCCTGAAGGACTTCATAACCTAAGTATTAACCACCTCACTTCATAGATAAAGAAAAGAGTCTTAATGGATAACTAATTTGCCCAAGGCCTTCCACCTCAAAAAAGCCTGGGACTGTGCTTGTGTGTTCTGAGCTCTGGAGGGAGGCAGATGTCCTGCAGATGTCTTGACTCCCACAACACAGCAAAACCAAAGTGCTTCAGAAAAGTTACTGCATAGAAAAAGCACAGCAAAGTGCCAAGAAAAACTCTTGATACAAAAGCAAAATAATAAAAGATCATGGTACCTTTGGACAAAATTAAAATTCTGAGAATATGTCCAAGAGTGGGAAATGTCTCAAAACTGATCATATCTTTAAGTAAAGCCTGAGGTCTGTTGGGGACAGGTCAAATGCTAAGAAAAAAAGTCCACAAATGGGCTAATACTCTGCCTTCTATTTTCAGACCCAAGATTGCTGAGCAACCTTGGCGACTACTGTTTGTAACTACAGAATTTTATTATTCCACGTATCCAAAAACATGTCATGCCAAACATTAAAGCCTGGGATTCTCTCTGAGAGTGAAGCTGTCTTTTCTTTAGAAAAATAATAAAGATGGAATGACAGAATTAGAAAAATCATCATTCTGAAACCAGCAATGTGATAAATGATAACTATGAAGACTCATTAATGATAACAAATCATTGCATGGAAACGAGTTGGTGAAGAGGATATTCACACAGTCTCCAAATTTCCCACTTCAGATTACTATTAATTACACTTCAGATTACTATTAATTACAAATTGAGGAGGCACCTTTACAGTGGTGAAATCAAGTATGCATACCTTAACCAAGTAATCAAACCTATCATCACCAATAATAACTCAAACTGACCTTATGAGCCTCCTGATGTGATTCAATGGGAAGGATACAACACCGTCTACATATTATTCTTACCAAAAACATTTCATATGACTCTAATTGGTTGTGGGACATCACAGAACTAACTGGCCTGGACCCTTAAAAATGTTAATGGCATAACAGACAACCAAAAGGCAAGGGAATTGTTCTAGATTTAAAAAGACTAAACAGATTTGACAACTACATACAATGTGTAATCTTTGAATCCTGGATTAATATCTTTTTTTAAAATCTATAAAGTACATAATTGTACTGGGACAACTGTGCAATCTGAATATGGACCACAAAATAGATAATACTCATTTATCAGTGTTAAAGTTCTTGGGTATGATAGTGGTATTGTGGGTATGTAGGAAAATGTCCTTGTTCTCAGAAGATGTATGCTGAAAGATTTAGAGGGAAAGTATGATGCTTAACAAAGTCTCTCCATACACGCATGTGTGTGTGTGACAGAGAGGGAAAGCACCTGTGACAAGATGTTAACTAGGGAATTTAGGTGAAGAATACTAGAACGTTCTATGTACGCTTGAAGTTTTTCAAAATAAAAGGGTTGGGGGGAAATTTAGGGTTTCTAAATTCTAATGTCATCCCACCTAGCCCACACCATGGGGACACTTCTTAATAATGTATTGATAATCTTAGTGTCTAACAAAGGCTGAAAGCAGGAATGTTTCATCTTATAAACTATGACTATGTCTTACCTTTTTATGATAAGACTACAGATATAGCTGCAAATTATATTATTTTTAGAGTACTTAGAGTATTGGGCTAGAAAGATGTTAAAAATAAAATTTGTAAATCAAAAAGAACAAAATTTGAACTTCTGTGTCTCTGCCTGGGCAGCCTCAAAGGTAACTATATTTACCAGAGTTTATAACTTTACCTTGCTTTGTCTAAAGTCTTCTGTTCTTCAATCTTCTGTTCAGCATCCTTCTCAGCTCGATTTGAAATGCCTACATTCTGTTTGCTCCAGATACTTGGTTTCTGGAGAATAATTTTAGAAAACAAAACAGAACCACATGATTGCCAAAAAAATCTACTTGTGCATCAGGAAAAAAAAAACAAAAAAACAAAGGAGATCATGAGAGCTTATGAATCAATGGAGATAACTAGATAAGCTGTGTCCTACAAAGAAACTGATTATATGTGGCAAGCAGGAGCTAAAAAAAGAGCCCTCAATTACATAAATAACTTATTTATTTATTTATTTTGAGGCCGGATCTCGCTCTGTCACCCAGGCTCGAGTGTGGTGGTGCGATCTCGGCTCACTGCAGCCTCAACATCCTGAGCTCAAGTGATCCCCCCACTTCAGCTTCCCCAGTAGCTGGGAATACAGATGCGCACCACCATGCCTGACTAATTTTTTTTTTTTGCAGAGATAGGGTTTTGCCATGTTGCTCAGGCTGGTCTTGAACTTCTGGGGTCAAGTGATCTGCCTGCCTCGGCCTTCCAAAGTGATGGGATTAGAGGCGTGGGCCACCACGCCCAGCCTAAAGAGCTTCTTGAGTGCAGAATCACTTCCTACTATCTTTTATCTCCTTAATGATTACAACCTAAATCAAGACTAATGAAAATGTACATATTACAGAGAATTAGTAATACAAATAGTAGACACTATTACCTATAAAACTGGAAAAATCATTCACAGCTCTTATTCACCCTGATATTTTCTGCTATATTCCTATATTATCTAATTGTTTATCTCTATTTGGATATCTAACACCTATAGAACCAGATAACCTTCCATCTGTTTATGAAATATAAACAATCCACATTTTTCCAAAAGAAGTGCTAAAGAATTACCACATGACTATGTACTTTTATATAATCTTACTAATTTCTATTTTAATAACATTTCATGCAAATGTTAAACACAAGATAGAGATTTTTTCCTCAACATTTATGTGTACAGATACCACTGACAACCTTAAAACACTTAAATATGGTATAATTCTCCCATGTTTGGAACCAATGGAGATCATCAGATCTTATTTTTTACCTTGTTAGTTGTTTTTGGTTTTCCAAAAACTCCAGAATCTTTTAAAAGTTTTTCTTGTTTGAATTCTTCTTGCTTTCGGAAGAGTTCAGCCTTAAGATCTACCAACTAGAATAAAAGCAGTAAGTAAACAAAAATATTAAATTTTTGCAGGTGACTGGATTGCTAAATTATTATAATTTCTAAAGGAATATTTCAAGTTCTGCTAAATGGACAAATATGGCTAAAAAACTAAATGTTTAAATGACTTAATGTTTAAATGTAGAATCCAGTACACAAATTAAGCTAAGTCATGTTTCATTCTACCTCTGCTGCAAATGCATTTTTACTCTAACTTTCAACACTTGAGGCTTTCCTTAGTCAAGGAGAAAGTGATAAAGCAAAATAAAATTAATGAAGTCTGCATCTTTTAGTTTCAGATTAAACTTGCATTATTAAGCACCTTCTCTGTGACTAGCACTGCACTCATTTAATTATCACTACTTATTATTTCTACAGGGAAATGCCCTTATTCCAAAACTATCTGAGCATCCAGTTTGTGCATGGTACTTAACACTGAAGAGCAGAACATAAACACAAATTAGACATACTCTCTACCTCAAAGAGCCTACAATGTAACAAGGAAAGTAATTTATAATACTAGCAAAATGTAACAAATGACTCTAGAATGGAAGAAAGTAGCACACAAGTTCAGATAAGGGAGCATTTCCTTCCGAGCAGAGTGATCAGAGAAAGCTTTGAGCAGAGCCTTTAAAGACACATTATTTCAACAGCTAGAAATAAAATAGACTGGGTGAATTATAACAGCTCCACGTCTGACTTAACCCATTTCAAAAACCGTAAGTTTGGCTGAATCTCACGGTTCAAGAAGAGGAAAGAAGGCCAAGGCATAGGGAGTGGGGCAGTTGGGTGAGTATTAGTGCCTTTCCCTCAGCTACAGTCGTCACCCCTGCCTACTCTGCAAAAGATATAACAACAGTTCCCTTTTTAAGGGTCCAGGTACAGCTGCTTATATGGATGGGCATTTGTAAATCAGATATTTAATCACTGACTTAACCATCAGATACTTAAAAAATCACTTTACTTGTTAAGGAAAATAAAAATGGCTGAGTTCAATTTCCATTTTGGAAGAAACTGATTTAAAAGGTAACCATTTAAAAATGCAAAGGGAAGTTTCACTGCAGACCCTAATACTGTAAATTCTTAAAAACAAATGAAAAACTTCTTTTTCTTCTCAGCTTACTTAACCACACCAAATTTTCCAGCCACATATCTTCCTAGTCTACAACGGCCTTTGACTTTAAAAGATGCTCAAAAAATTGTAAATTCTCAAATAGCATTCTTATTACAATTATTGCTAATTTTAGCCTATCAGTATAGGTTGGCTTTAATATTTATAGCTTTTTGGTTCCTGATCTTCAAACAAACATAATAACTAGTACCAATTTTAACCAATACTAGTTACCAATAATAACTAGTACTCAAATATTGGGACACCTATGCTTTCCTTCATACTCCCTTTGTGTACTAATACTCAAGTAAATTCAAGATTAAATCAAAGGTTGGGCAATTTGTTCTGATGATGAAAAGGCAGCAGCTTTGGAGTCAGCTAGACTGAATGAGCAAGGGTCTATCACTAAGATTTCTTCCCCCGCCCCCGCCCCAGACGGAGTTTGGCTCTTGTTGCCCGGGCTGGAGTGCAATGGTGCAATCTCGGCTCACCGCAACCTCCGCCTCCAAGGTTCAAGCGGTTCTCCTGCCTCAGCCTCCCGAGTAGCTGGCATTACAGGCATGCGCCACCACGCCCGGCTAATTTTTTTTATTTTTAGTAGAGACGGGGTTTCTCCATGTTGGTTAGGCTGGTCTCGAACTCCCGACCTCAGGTGATCCGCCCGCCTCGGTCTCCCAAAGTGCTGGGATTACAGGCGCGAGCAGAGGCCCGAGCCACCGCGCCCGGCTATCACTAAGATTTCTGTATGTAAGCTGGGGAAAGCTACTTCATCTTTCTGGGCCTCAATTTCATCATCTATAAAACGGAAATATTAATAGCACCTACCTCCTAAAGCCATTGGGAGGATTAGTGAGATAGTGCATATAAAGTGCTGGCACAAAATGTGTACTTAGAACACGTTTTCTTTCTAGGGTAGCTGATTTAATAAAACTGCTTACATCCTTTCAGACTTCACAGTTCCCTATGGCTGCATTAACAACTATTTAGTTCCAGGTGGGGTACGCTGGGCACTTTCGGCTCCTGTGGAATATGTCACACTCTAAAGTTCTGGGAGGACTTTGGGGGTCCCTGAATGGAGGAGAAACCAGGAAGAGGATATGTCTGCATAGCAAAAAGAAGCTACGGTTCCTCCCGACTGTAAGGGAGAAGGCTGGCGAGGTGCAGGTCCTTGCGGGCAGGGCAGAGGGAGGTAGGGAGATTCCTAACCCACGGGACACCAGGTTCAGGTCCGTGTCTGAGGGTTCTGGTCCGGGCGCGAGTCAGAGAAGAGAAGACCAGTTCAGGATCCTGTAAGAAAACTGAACCGGATCCCCGTTGGAGAAGAAAATCCAGGTCGGGTATTCCTGTTTGAGGGGAGAGGTCAGATCTCTGGGTCCCCGACTGAAGAAACAAGCTAGGTCGACATTCTTGTCTGATGGAGATAGGGTGAACCCGGAGCCCGTGGAGTTACCTCATACCCTCACTCACCGAGGAGGCCGTGACGTCCAAAGGTTTTTTCCTACGGTCCATGGTCGCGCCGCAGTGGCCCGGCCCAAGAAGAACCCTTCGCACCCGAAGCAGGCCTCGTAAACCTACCTCCGTCGCAACCGGAAGTGTCTTCGATAACGACACTGAGTTTGCGTGAGTTTGCGACGCGAGTTTGTCAGCTCAACGCCATCTTGAGAAGGTCAAAGTGTGGTGCGTATTACGTTCGCCATCATTTTGGAAAGGTCAGAGAGTGCGGAGGTTGACGCTAACTGCTAAGGTCATCTTGAGGGCGGAAGGTAACAAGATTAGCGTGGGCGCCATCTTGAGAAGGGCCGAAAAAGCTTTTGGTTGTGATGGACGCCATATTGGGTGGGGCGGATGTGGGGTTGGCGACAAAGATAACGCCGTCTTGGGCAAGGCTGACGCTTGAGTGAGTGAACTCGAGCGTCTCGGGAAAGGCGGATTGGGAGGACCGGAAGAATTTAACTACAATTCGACGACCTGCTGCCTGGCACTTTTCACACGTTAAATAGTTGGTTCTTACAAGAGCGTACGAGATAAGGATTATTATATTAATCTTAGCAGAAATAACAAGAATAATAGCTAACATTAATATAGTGCTTATTATGTGCCACTTTACATTATTTCAGCTCTTAAGAAAGTGAACTCCTGGGCCGGGCGCGGTGGCTCACGCCTGTAACCCCAGAACTTTGGGAGGCCGAGGCGGGTGAATCAGGAGGTCAGGAGTTTGAGACCAGCCTGACCAACATGGTGAAACCCCATCTCTACTGAAAATACAAAAAAAAAAAAAAAAAAATTAGCGGGGCGTGGTGGTGCGCACCTGTATTCCCAGCTACTCAGAAGGCTGAGGCAGAGGAATCACTTGAACCCGTGAGGTGGAGGTTGCAGTGAGTCAAGATGATGCCATTGCACTCCAGCCTGGGCACAGAGCAAGACTGGGTCTCAAAAAAAAAAAAAAAAAAAAAAAAAAATGTGAACTCTAAGGCTGGCTTTCTGGGTTGGAATCGCTGCTTCACTGCTTACTGCCTGTGTGACCTTGGGCAAGTTACTTAACTTCCCTGTGCCTTAGTTTCCAAAGGGGGATATAATTTCATTTACCTCATGGGTCTTAGTGAAGCTTAGATGAGTTAAATGAGCTAGTCTTGATAAACATGTTAATGATTATGGTAGACAGACTAATCACCCTTACCCCTACTCCTAGATGTCTACCTTCGAACACCCAGAATCTGGATATATGGTGACCTTTATATAACAAAAGGGAATTGGCAGAGATGATGAAATTAAAGCTATTGAGATGGGGAGCTAGCCTGGATTGTGCAGGTGGGTCCCCTATCATCGAACCATCCTTATAAGGGGTAGACAGGATGGCCAGAGTCAGAAAGAGATCAGAGATGATTTGAAGAGGGAGAGTGGGACCACATGCCTAGGTATGCAGGAGGCCCCTAGAAAAAGCAGATAAATGGGCCCTCCTCCAGAGTCTGCAGAAGGAATGCAGCATTGCTGACATGATGATTTTAGTCTTGAACACTCATCTCAAACTTCTGACTTCCAGAATTCTACAAGAATTGTTTTAAGCCACCAAACTTGTGGCAATTTGTTACAACAGCAAGGCGAAAGTGATCATAATGATTGTAACAGCAGCATTTAGTACATGTGGGGCACGTGTATGACTCTTTACATAGATTATATTATATAATCCTTGCAAGAGTCCTAGAAGCGGAACTATTGTCCCCCATATTAGAAGAAAAATGAGGCTCATCACATCCTCATCTCATCTGGCTGTATAAAGAAAATGGGAAAAGGGAAAAGGAGAGGGGAATTGAGGCAGTTGCCTGTGTTCAGTCTTATTTATTTATTTTCATTTGTTTATTTATCTGAGTCCGCCAGTCTCTGAAATTAGAACAGTAAGCAATATGAGATAATCGGGCCTACTAATGTTGTGATTCTCTTTTCTTAGTGGAGTGGAGTGTTCTGTCTCCACAAGAAGGATTATACCTTATAGACTTGTCTTGTTCAGATTCTGTATTTACCCATTTTATTGAAACACATACTAAATTCCGTGTATTTTTGTTACAAAGCTTCTGAAAGAAAATGTGAAACATTAAAAGGTATTAATAATAATTTTTTTTGCAAAGGAAAAAAAGTGAGGTTCAGTTGCTTAAATGGCATGCCAGAGGTCATTTCCCAGCTAGGAAGTGAGGAAGCCTTCAGTTAAAAAATAACTCAAAGGGCCGGGCGCGGTGGCTCAAGCCTGTAATCCCAGCACTTTGGGAGGCCGAGATGGGCGGATCACGAGGTCAGGAGATCGAGACCATCCTGGCTAACACGGTGAAACCCCGTCTCTACTAAAAAATACAAAAAACTAGCCAGGCGAGGTGGCAGGCGCCTGTAGTCCCAGCTAGTCGGGAGGCTGAGGCAGAAGAATGGCGTAAACCCGGGAGGCGGAGCTTGCAGTGAGCTGAGATCCGGCCAGTGCACTCCAGCCTGGGCGACAGAGCGAGACTCCGTCTCAAAACAAAACAAAACAAAACAAAAAAACTCAAAGACGCTGAGTTAATTATTGGCATGTTATTTACTTGTAACGAGTGGAACCAATATAGATTGATTTCATCTCAGAAAGCGAGGAAAGGATTCATATAGAAGAAATACAGCTTCTAAACTATGAATGTTGGTTTTCTTGCCTAGCCAGCGCCTGGCAATGAGGCCAGTGAGTGTTCTGATCCTGGGAAGCTAGAAAGAAGGTAATTCTAGTTGCATGTGAATGTCCCTGAAGACCATGAGAATTTAGCTTCCTCTGCGTGATGCCTGACAGGGTCCTTGATTGTCATCTCCGTCTTGGCGATGCAGGTTTGCACCCTCACCCTTGTCAGAAATTCTTCCTAGAGTGGCATCCAGCTGATTGTAACCATCTTGCTCCTAAGCTACTTAAATGACCAGGAGCAAGCTAGTGAGTCCCCTTTATTCCCAGGCTCACTCATTTTGCGGGCTGCAAAAGCACAAAAAAACTTAATCTTGCCTTGACCAGAATGCTCCCCTGGCATGCAAATGATTTTTCACATATCCCATTTCCTCAAACTCTCCTCTTTATGTGTTCCAAGAGTCTGGTTCTATCTGGAATTGCCTTCCTCTACCAAGTACAAAAATTGAAGCCCAGCCCAGTATATTCTTTACCCAGTTACCCTCTAAACACATGGACTTGGGTTTGTTCTGGAAGAAAGGGAGGTCAGGGACATCCTAGTCTGGTGAAAAGAGCACAGGATTTCCTCCAAGGCCACTAGCGCTCAGTTCCAGCTACGCTCCTTTAGTTTGGCACCTCCCATCTTCCCTCTGAGTCTCGGTTCTCTTACCCAGTTGGGCACACAGGATGTTTGAGATAAAGAGTGTAGAAATGGTTTGCAAACTGAAAATGCTGTGCACGCATCACTTGCAGGATAGTTCTGCTCAGTGCCAGTTTTCTCACAGCAGAAGGCGTGTGCGTACCAACAGTCTGTGTTATGACACTGCATATTTTGCAGTGTTTTGACCTCCAGTTTGTCCTCACCCCTGTTGAGTTCCAAGAGAGTGGGACTGGGTGGGAGATCAATTATCTTCTTCCTTCTTATATCTTATTAGATTTTAATTATCTATGAAGTCTCCTAGGTGCTTTAAATAAAGGGGGAGAGAGGAAACCTGAAGCAGACGACGATTATTTTCCCCGGAGCATAGCCACCAAGCCATGCTCTTATTTTGAATCACCTGCAGTCATTTTCCAACATGAAGCCTCAGAAGGACATGATTGCAGGCCGGACTCACCAACTGTAGCCTGTGCGGCTATTGTAATGTTTTAATCAGTGATTAAGTCAAGAGGTTTAATTTAGTCCCGGGCTCCTTTAAGCTTGTGAAAATGGTTTTCTGCTTCCTCAAACTAAAAATGTGTCTCTCCCCCATGTGTCCAGACCAAAGCATCTTAACCTTTGTTCAATCTTCAACACCACTGGCTCTAACAATAAATTACTCAGCAGTGAATGAATTAGCTGAATCCAATGTGTGAAAAAAGATTAGGTTGGACCTAGGAAAATTAGCTTCTAAGCACGGGCACAGGGTGAGGCATAAAGATACCTGGACTCGTGCCCTGCATGACAAAGAAGCTAAGCTTCATTGGCGTCAGTCATGACATCTGTCATTGGCATTATCTCATTGAATCCCTGTGACAACCTCAGGGGCAGATGCTATTATTATTCTCATTTTGTAGATGAAGAAAACTGAGATCCAGAGAAGGTAAATAACTTGTCCAAGGTCACACAGGCAATCTTGGTCCCAGGATTTGAGTTGAGGCAGCCTAGCTCTGGGATCCCCACGCTGTCCTTCCTCCCTCGCTGGATCTGAGACTACATTAGCTTTGCATTCATTCATTCATTCGTTGATTAACTCTGTTGGGGAAAGGGGAAATTTTAGGGAGCTACCCCAGAATATTTCTGCAGGAAAGACCTGTCTTTAGGTCATTGCAAGCAGAGATGACTAAGGGGGTGAGTGCCAGGAGTTCTGATCATGCAAGCCAGAACTGGACAAGGATCCTTTGGTATCATGGAGAGCCCAGCTGAGCTTGCAAATCTGGAGTAACAAGATGGCCTGTGGGGTTTTTTCTGCAGCCTGGGGAATTGGTGCCTGAGGCCATGGCTAAAAAACGAGAAGTTGCTAAAAACTGCAGCCTCAGACTGTTAATGGAGGCGCAAGTGAGTGCTTACTATGAGCAGGAGAAGATGCTTTATGATGCTCAAATTCACCCGGCCCCAATGGATTTAGGGAGGCAGCAGGGAAGTGGGAGAGGGAGCTGTCCACGTTATGAGATGTTAGCCTCATAGAGAGTGAGGGGAGGGACATTTCTCTAAACTCCTAAAGCCAAGTGAGGGGCTCCAAAGATGAGGAGCAGAGGTCAAATCAGAGACCTAGCAGTATCATGGTGGGGAGTCTTGAAGGTGACCCAGCTGAACCCAAGAAGTAGGGAAAAGCAGAGAAACGCCACAGCGAGAAGTAGGGAAAAGCAGAAGCCGCTACAGCGAAGTAGGGAAAAGCAGGCATACAGCGAAGTAGGGAAAAGCAGAGAAAACGCCACAGCGAGAAGTAGGAAAAAGCAGAAACGCCACAGCAAGAGGAA